GTGTGCTAAAATAAAAATAATCTGTAAATAAATCCTTGCTGCTATTTTCTTTAGTTCAAACAACTTAATATTTTAGTCAGTTTGGCGTAGGTAAATCGAGATGACTAGAAATTTCGTATAACTTAATTAATTAAAATAAGTAAACTAAACATCCAATACTTTAAAGAATAATTGAATAAATATTTAAAAATAAATAAATAAGTGGGTTCAAATACAGAATATATAAATAAAATATAAATATAAATATTAAAATAATAAATTATTTAAATTAAAATAATATTATTTTTTGAAGTATATTTAATTTTATTTTCCTTTTGTGCTAAAATAAAAAAAATATCTGTAAATAAATTCTTGCTTCCTAAATTTTATTTAGCTGAATCAACTTAAATTTTCTAGTCACCTCAACTTACAGAAGTCAATCTGACTAAACATATTGTGTTAAACTTTGTAAAGTTGTAACTTGATTAACCAAATTAAAATAAGTAACCTAAATATTAAACAATATTAATATTAAATACTATCAATAACATTTGTAGTCACGACTTTTTGTCTCACATTTTTCATGGCACATAATGAAGTCTGTCACAAAACACAGTATAGTGTAGAAACCATTTAAACGTACTTGATTTAATGGCTCAAATGTTATTTTGTCTTGAAAAACATTAGAAACTCTGTAATAATTCCTATTTATTATTATCTTTATTATATGATTTGATGCATTTTTCAGTTATATAGGTTATATAAACTAACAAGTATCCTTTACTGTCTTATCAACAGATCCCAAGGCAACTGTAACTCCAGCCCAAACAGCAGCAAATGTTGTCGGGAGGAGCATTTCATCAACTTCCGTGAGCTCACCTGGACTCAGTACTGGATCATTGAGCCGGCCGGGTACCAGGCGTTCAGGTGCGCTGGAGGATGCAAGCAGCCCAAACGTGGTTTCTATGGATATGGACAGAGGACATGTGCAGTGATGGAGAGCGCGCCGCTGCCCATGATGTACCTGGTCAAAAAGGGAGATTACACTGAAATCGAGGTGGCAGAATTCCCTAATATGATTGTGGAGAAGTGTGGATGCTCCATGGACAAAATCCCTCCAGTCTGACAGTGTGGTGTCGAATAGTTTGCTCTCAGATGAGAGGTGACGTGTTTAATAATCACAGTTATGGGACTCCCCAAATCCCCACTGAGCACTTGAAAAACAAAGTATTTATGAATTATTGCTTTATGTAATGTAAGCTTTAGAAATGGCTTGTTGAGAGATGTGATGTTTGAAAAATAAAGTAAGTAGCTTAATTTTATATCAATGAGGGTCGTCATTTTTTTATTTCTAACATGATTCTTCATTCATTCATTTTCCTTCGGCTTAATCCCTTTATTCATTAGGGGTCACCACAGCGGAATGAACCGCCAACTTATCAAGCATATGTTTTACACAGCGCATATTCTTCTCGCTGCAACTTAGAACTAGGAAAACACCCATACACTCTCACTTTCGCAGTCATACACTACGGCCAATTTAGTTTTGTTCCAGTGGTTCTCAAACTGTTTGTGTATTAGTGGTACGCAGGCTTACTTCTAGGCTGTTCTCTAAAGCCTGCGACCAAAGTGCTGTGCTTAGAATGTTTACTTTATTGCATCAGGTCATCAGCTGCTAAAAATACATGTAATTGTCGCAGAACTAGAGAAAGGTGCGTGGTGCTTGCAGAGCAGATAAGTTATATTGGTACCAGGCGGCCCAAAAAATCCTTAATTATTTCGGTTTTGTTAATAATCTGAGTCTGAACGATCATTTATTTTGAAAAATCTTTTATTTTGAAAAATGACCGGATTCTCGTTACATCTCAGTCACTTGAATAACAATATTTAACCCACAGGCTAGCAAAATGAGTAAGCTCGGCGCGCTTGCCTATTCCAGGCGTACGCAGTTGAAAGCACCTTAACTTTTCAGAATGCTGCACCGCGAGTCACGCTACAAGAACCGACTGATCAGATTCATATTTTGTATGGAATATAATTTCGTTGAATGAATATGACCTTCTTGTTTTCGAACTTAGCAGTGCTGTAGCTGCTTAATTTGGCAAACTACGCTACTTTATTTCAATACCGGTCATTATGGTGGTACTTGGAGAGACTATTTTTTTTCTGAGGTGGTACTTGGTGAAAAAAGTTTGAGAACCACTGATTTATTCAATTCACCAATAGAGCATGTCTTTGGACTGTGGGGGAAAACTGGAGCACCCGGAGGAAACCCACACCAACATGGTGAGAACATGCAAACTCCACACAGAAATGCCAACCGACCCAGGACTCAAACCAGCGACCTTCTTGGTGTGAGGTGCTTCTGAGCCACCATAACATGATTCTTATTAGTCATATTTTTTATTTTAACATTATATATCTGTATTTACATACAACATTTAACATTATATGTCTGTGTATACATACATAAATGACCGGTCTTATTATTGATAAACAAATTTTAGAAAACACAAACAAAAACAGGTCTGTGGTGGCCTATTTATCTCAATAAGTGGTCAACAGAGTCCTCTAGTGGTCAGATGAATGCACTATACTGGACTTACACATTATATTATATGCCTGTGTACAAACAACACAATAAAATAAATGAGTAGTCTTACTTCAATAGCACCTCAGAGCAAGAAGGTCGCTGGTTCGAGTCCCTGCTGTGTCAGTTGGCATTTCTGTGAGGAGTTTGCATGTTCTCCCCGTGTTGGCGTGGGTTTCCTCAGGGTGCTTCGGTTTCCCCCCAAGTTCAAAGACATGCGCTATACTGTAGGTGAATGGATAAACTGGATTGTGTATGAGTGTATGGGTTGCGGCTGAAAGGGCATCCGCTGCGTACATCATATGCTGGAATAGTAAGCGGTTCTTTCCTCTCTGGCGAAGCCTGATGAATAAAGGAACTATAACCGAAGGAAAATGAATGAATGAAAAAACAGGTCTGTTGTAGGGTATTTATCTCAATAAGAGGTTGACAGCGTCCTTATGTGGTCAGATGAATACACCACACTGGACTCACATATTATATGCCTGTGTACAAACAACACAATAAAATGAATGATTAGTCTTACTTCAATAGCACCTCATAGCAAGAAGGTTGCTGGTTCGAGTCCCTGCTGTGTCAGTTGGCATTTCTGTTTATGTTCTCCCTGTGTTGGCATGGGTTTCCTCTGGGTGCTCCGGTTTCTCCCACAGTTCCAAAGACATGCGCTAAACTGTAGGTGAATGGGATGAACTGAATTGTGTGTGTGTGTGTGTGTGTGTGTAAATGCAAGAGAGTACCGGGCTGTGGCTGGAAGGGCATCTACTGCGTAAAACATTTGCTGGAATAGTTGGCGGTTCATTCCACTGTGGTAACCACGGATAAATACATGCTTTCCATCTTATAAACACAACCAAGCTTTAAAAACACTCTGGACCACCTTTTAAATAGCCTACATGAAAACATCCTGACAAGTTTTTAAGACATGACTTCATCTGTCATTAGATCTTGCAGAAAACAAACACTCTAAATTGAATGAGTTGATAAATAGAATATTCGTAATTTAAAATGTACATTAGTCAACACTTGAAGATTATCAAAACTTTTCCTCTGAGTTGTCTTAAAACCACTTTACGATACTAGCCAACCCGTTATTGTCTTAGGATGACTTTGATTAACTTTTCTTGATCCACTTCAAATGTTTACTATATTATTTAATGCTTTTGGTTTCAGTTCAGCTCTCCTCAAAACTCATGCAGCCAGACAAACACGTGAGTTCGTCTCAGAACCTTTTCACCAAACCACTGACAACAATTCTCATTCAGAACACACTAAAACACACTTAAAACACTACTAACAGGGAGCGTTACAGAAATGTAAAACTTTTATTTTTGAAGTTTGAATCAATTTTCATGTACATCATTATGTATTTTTACATTTACCACCCTTTCAGTCTTGAATAGCCTATATGCTATGTATGGAAGTATGTTCCCACCATTGAATAAAATGAAAAAAGTGATTGTGAATTTATTTCTCAGAATTGTAAGTTGATATGTTGCAATTCTGAATTTATAACTTGCAATTTCGAGTTTACATCTCACAATTCTGAGAAACAAAGTCAGAATTATGAGTTTCACAAGAGATGTAAACGTTGCAATAACCTTTATTTTTATTCGGTGGTGGGAATGGACTTCCATAGTTAATGAAAAACATGCAAACGTGCAGTAAAAACAGCTTTTCTCAGTCATCTCAACAAATATTTCAAAACATTCACTAAACTACAAGCTATAAAGTCAATCGTTGGATTCTAAAACAAAACAATTTCTGTCATGTTTAGTAATAAGCCACTTTCAACTGTGTTTACAATAGGCTTCTGCCAGTTTCAGATTTTATTGTTGCATTTAATTGCTGAAGCGTTTATTACGATACAGTATTATTATGATATTGACCTAAGCTACAAAAAACTTTAATATGTATAATAACACAAAAATATTTAGTTTATTGCTTCATTATAGATACAGTTGAAGTCAGAATTATTAGCCCCCTTTAAATGTTTACCTTCTTTTTAATATATTTTCTAAAATATGTTTATCAGAGCAGGCAAATCTTATTTGTTTTATTTCGGCAAGAATAAAAGCAGTTATGATTTTTTTAATCACCATTTTAGGGACAAAATTATTAGCCCCTTTAAGCTATATATTTTTCTTGATATTCTACAGAACAAACTATCGTTATAAAATAACTTGCCTAATTACTCTAACCTGCCTAGTTAACCTAATTAACCTAGTTAAGCCTTTAAATGTCACTTTAAGCTGTATAGAAGTTTCTTGAAAAATATCAAGTCAAATATTATTCACTGTCATCATGGCAAAGATAAAATAAATCAGTTATTAGAAATGAGTTATTAAAACTATTATGTTTAGAAATGTGTTGAAAAAAATCTTCTCTCCGTTAAACAGAAATTTGGGAAAAAATAAACAAGCGGTCTTATAATTCAGGGGGGCTAATAATTCTAACTTCAACTGTATATACTCATAATAAATAAATGCTTTGAACAAAATAAATAGAAACGAAGGGTAAAATACAATAGGTAAGACTAAAGTCTCATTAGTAAATATAAATTAATGCATTAAAATCAGTATATACATGCTAAAATTAACTGATTTAAAGACAGACATTATTTGTGTGTGTTTCTATAACTCATCTGTGTTGTTTAATCTCCCACAAAGACACTGAACTACCAAAATAAAGCCCGAATCCAGCATAGAGTGGCTCGGTGAATGTGGTGTTAAATGTGTGTAAGTGTGTGAGTGTGTTTGTGTCAGAGACGCTGTAAAAGGACAGAGTGCCAGCAGGCCAATCCAGATACACTCCTACTCTACTAAATGGACATGAAGGGACATCTATAAATGTGATCTTATTATTGTGCTTGGCAATCAATCTGTTCTTGAAACAGATCAGACTCCATGACCTTTTATTATATCCAAACCAAGATTCTTCACCCCCTCCTTTCCTGCTGATTCCTTTATATGCCACTGACATATTAACTCCTTCGTCCCCGCTCCATTCAGCCTCCCAGTAACAGTGTCCAGTCAGACTCTCTTTACACAGAACCTGATGACTCTCATCAAATCTCTCTGGATGATCAGGATACAACTGCTTCATTGTCACAAGTGTTGCCATTCTTTCCCGATTAGACAGAATGAGATAAGTGTGTGCTGTGTTTACATCCAGTGTGAGCTGGCTTGCATCTGAATAAGAAGAGTTACGGTAAAGAAAGAATGACTATAAAATCTGGTTAATTTGACTAATATGCTGAAGTGCGTGTTTCAATGACTTTAGTCAAATTAACAAAACACTTCCAGAAGAGTGTTTGTTGTAGGGTTTAGAGAACAGAAAATATTACCTACTCAAAATGTACCAAAAATGTGTGAATGAACTTACATTTCTGTAGTCCTGTTGTAATCCTGCATGCTGCTGCATTATCCATGCTATTAAAACAAATGAATATAATAATGACAAAAAAGACAAAGCATCAATAACCCTAATACCTCTACTAATACTATTGCTACTAATCATAATTTGATTCTAAATTAAAGATTTAACTTTGTGTGTTTGAGACTGTCAGTGAGATTTTGTAAGAATATTAGTCTGAAATATGTTAACTGTTTGTTTCTTTGTGTTTTGTTTTTGCACCTCAGTTTTTTCACTTTGTTTGCTTCTGCCTTCTTTGATATCTCTGCTCAAACCTACCTCCTTGATAGCTGTTATAATTTTTTGCTATAACTTGTTGATTTTACACCCATACATGCCCTGGCTCTTGATCTAGAGTCGTGCTTGTTAGACTGGGTGTTTTGTGCATATTTGTTTCTGTTCTGTTATGCCCTTGTCTTGTTTTCTCTGCCTGGATTTACTGTTGTGTTTATTTCAGTAAAAGAGTTCTTGGATCCTACTCTACTCTACTCTACTCTACTCTACTCTACTCTACTCTACTCTACTCTACTCTACTCTACTCTACTCTACTCTACTCTACTCAAAAAGTTATTGGAGCAAACTCTACCTGTTGTGTTTATTTCAGTAAAAGAGTTTTTGGATCCTACTCTACTCTACTCTACTCTACTCTACTCTACTCTACTCTACTCTACTCAAAAAGTTATTGGAGCAAACTCTACCTGTTGTGTTTATTTCAGTAAAAGAGTTTTTGGATCCTACTCTACTCTACTCTACTCTACTCTACTCTACTCTACTCTACTCTACTCTACTCTACTCTACTCAAAAAGTTATTGGAGCAAACTCTACCTGTTGTGTTTATTTCAGTAAAAGAGTTCTTGGATCATACTCTACTCTACTCTACTCTACTCTACTCTACTCTACTCTACTCTACTCTACTCTACTCTACTCTACTCTACTCTACTCTACTCTACTCTACTCTACTCTACTCTACTCTACTTAAAAAGTTATTGAATCAAACTCTACCTGTTGTGTTTATTTCAGTAAATGAGTTCTTGGATCAAAACTCTATCTTCGTTTGAAAATAGCCATTGCTACAGAACAATTTTTTTTTATATATGAATATGATCACATATAGCCTATATTTCCTGGTGTTGATAAACGGGCTACTATATGGTAATACTTTTAAGTACATGGGTTTTTTTATTTTTTAAGAACAGTAACCTATTATTTTTAACCTTTAAAAGCAAAGTTTAATTTAAATGTTGACGTTTTTAGTTTTTTTTATGTTCAAACTATTTCTAATGTTTAAAGTGGCTGACAATAATATTCATATTAATAGGAATGAATCTGCCTCGTTTTTTAACTATACAGAGCTGTAGCTGCTTTACTGGGCCTACTACAATACTGTATTTCAAAACTGTTCATTATGGTGGTACTTGGAGAGACAATGTTTTTTCTGAGGTGGTACGTACTTGATGAAAAAGTTTGAGAACCACTGCCTTAGACTACTGAACCGTTTGTCTGCCCTGAGACTATCATTGATGTTAGAGATGACTACTTGTCAGAGGTCATTTATTTTCTGCCCTGGTTGTCTGCTCCACTCACTCTGTGCCAGTTTTTACCATACTGACCCCTATTCCACCTACCTTCCTGGACGTTAGTAGAATTTGTTTTGTTTTCTGTCAAATATCTACAAACTGTATTGATTTTCATTAGCTCGAACATATACTTGATAGCGTTAACATAAACAAATGCATTTGATGTAGTTATTGTTGAACCTACTTGAGCTTGTCCAGTCTGTAGTTTTTATCAGAGATTAGCTCCACTAATGATTGTCCTGGTTTATTGTAGCTCAGATCCAGCTCTCTCAGGTGTGAGGGGTTTAATCTCAGAGCTGAAGCCAGAAAACAACAGCCTTTCTCTGTCACCATACAGCCAGATAATCTACAAACACACACAAACAACACATCATCCGTGACTGGAGATAATCTCAAACTTTTTTATAAACAGGACGGTTCAGATTTCTTTAACATTAATGTCCCAGTGTGGATTGAGCAGAAATGACTTCAGTAGGCGCTTTTCTTCATCTCTACTCCTTACAACTTTAATATTTTACTCATTGAATTTAATGTTGACCAACAGGCAAGAGCAAGTCTTAAGAAACACCAAACTGCTACAACAGACTTTGTTTTTCATAACTTACACAAAAAAGTAGGTAGTAGGTAGATAGTAGGTAGTGCTGTGTTGCCTCACAGCAAGAAGGTCGCTGCTTCGAGCTCTGGTTGGGTCAGTTTGTATTTCTGTGTGGAGTTTGCATGTTCTCCCTGTGTTCGCATGAGTTTCCTCCGGGTGCTCCGGTTTCCCCCACAATTCCAAAGACAAGTAGTACAGGTGAATTGGGTAGGCTATATTGTCCGTAGTGTATGAGTGTGAATGAGTGTGTGTGTGGATGTTTCTCAGAGATGGGTTGCAGCTGGAAGGGCATCCACTGCATAAAAACTTGCTGGATAAGTTGGTGGTTCATTCCGCTGTGGAGACGTTGGATTAATACAGGGATTAAGCCGAAAGGAAAATTAATGAATGAATAATTCCTTACATTTATATAGTGCTTTTCTGGGCACTCAAAGCACTATAGGGGGGAATCTCGTCATCCACCCCCAATGTACAGCATCCACCTGGATAACGCAACGGCAGTCATTTTGCGCCAGATCAAACACACCTCAAACCAGCTGATTGGTGGAGATCCGACAGAGTGATGAAGCCAATTGTGATAGGGGGAGGGTAAGGAGGCCATGATGGACAGAGGCCAGTAGGCAAATTTGGTCAGGATGCTGGGGTGAAACCCCTACTCTTTTTCGAAGGACATCTTGGGATTTTTAATGACCACAGAGGGTCAGGACCTCTTTTTAACGTCTCATCCGAAAGACTGAGCAATATAGAGTCTGCTTCAATATACTGGGGCTGTAGGACCCACACAGACAACAGGATGGGCACCCCCTGCTGGTCTCGCTAACACCACTTCTGGCAGCAAGCAAGCTTTCCCATGTGGTCTCCCATCCATGTACTGACCGGGCGCAGCCCTGCTTAGCTTCAGTAGGCGACCATGTGAGAGTTGCAGAGAGCTAGCTGCAAATGTGAATTTGTGTCAAACTGTAAAAATGTATGTAATATTTTACAACATATAGTCAGAAAGTTTTAACGTCAGCAGTTAATCAACTCAAATTAGGCTGACTCTTACTGGTAAACTATGGCTGAATCACATGATCAATGACAAAGGCCTTGATCTTATGAGAGATCACTTGTTGCTGTGCTTTATCCTGTTCTTGTGCTTTATCCTCCTCTCCTTCATCCAGCTCATGCTCTTCCTCCTCACCTGTCTCATTCTCCGCCTCCTTTTTCTTTCTAAATTTATTGCATCCATTGTTCATAATCTGTAACTTAACTTAAGCTGTGAGTAATTGTTGTTGAGTAAATCCCATCTGAAGAGACAGTGTAGATGAACTAGTGTGCTATTTTGATTGGCTATGTTTGAAAATAAAAACAAAGATACTTAATGATAGATTTTTGTGTGTTAATTAGAAAACTGTGTGTTGTTTTGCAAAAAGTGTTTATGACATTAAAAACTGAGTCAAAGAGAAATGGTTTCGCAGATATGGTGTGTGGTTCGGCTGTTTGAGTATCAGGTATCAGAAATTGTGAGATAAGAAAAGATTTAGCATTTTAGCAGTCAAAAAAAAAAAAAAAACTAATCTCATAACCAAGATGAAACTTAATTACCTAATCAAATGAATATGTTAACACCCACCTCAGTATGATTTTCTTACCTCAGTATCTCCAGTTGACATTGTGAACTCTTCAGTCCATCAGAGAGCAGCTTCACTCCTGAGTCTTGCAGGTCATTGTGACTCAGGTCCAGCTCTCTCAGTGAGTTTGATGATTGTAGAGATAAAAACAAACTATTACAGCACTGATCAGTCAGATTGCAGCGAGCAAGTCTGTTAAATAAGACAAAATAGGGTTTAGTTTAGAGGAGTCAATTGATTTCTGTGTTAAATCACAGATCAACTGGAATTGTATTAATAAAAATAAAATAATAAAAATAGTACTCAAAAAGGTTTAAATCAGTGTAATCACTTAGGGTTAAATACCACAGTTGTTAATTGTAATTTAATGTAGACATTTCTAATGTTCCATGTACAATTCACACACATGAATAACAAAAACAAAAATTTATAACTAAAATGTCATTTCAATGAAACTTTTACAGCCTGTGCAGCACAGTAACAAAAAAACAAAACAAAAACAACAACAAACAAACAGAAAACAGGTGCTTTAATAGTCAAACCTATAAATCTTTAAATTAAACAAATCTTTGAAATATGATTCATTTCCAGAGATTATACTATGCCAAACCTTAATAAATATGATCTGAACAAGGAAGTGGACTATAGTATTAAATAAAAAATAGTACATCAGCTATCATTTAACTTAATACTCACTGAGCTTTTCTGCAGTTCACCACAGCTGGTAACAGTCTCCTTCTACCCTCATCTGATGTGTTGTATTTCTTCAGATCAAACTCATCCAGCACCACCTCAGATATCTGAAGCATGTAGGAGATTGCTGAACAGTGAGACGGAGAAAGCTTCTCCACTAAGCAATTCTGTGATTTCACAAACTTCTGAATCTCTCTGTACAGAGTCTGATCATTTATTTCCAGCAGACAGAGGAACAGATTGACGCATCTGTCAGCTGAGAGATGTTCATCACCTTTGATTTTATCTTTAATGTACCGTGTGATTCTTCTAATGCTTTCTGAACTGTTCTCTGTGTGTGTCAATAGATCCTGCAAGAGCTTCTGAATAAAGTCCTGTGAGATTCCCAGCAGAAACCGCAGGAAAAGATCCAGATGTCCATTTTCACTCTGCAATGATTTTTCAATGGAGCCTTCAAGTAGATCAAACAGAGAGATTTCTCGGCTGTACCATTTATATCCCTTCAGATATAACTTCAGTGACTCTTTATTCTTGACTTCATATGAGTAAAACACAAAGAAAGCAGCGAGAAACTCCTGAAAGCTCAGATGAATGAAGCTGTAGACTTTCCTCTGATGAATCACAGATTGCTCCTTAAAGATCTCAGTGCAAATCCCAGAATACACTGCAGCACTGGTGACATCTATGCCGCTCTCAATCAGGTCCTCTTCATAGAACATCACATTGCCCTTCATCAGCTGTTTGAAAGCCAGTTCAGCGAGTTTCACGATCATCTCTCTGCTGGACTCCAGGAGATTCTCTGGATCTCTCTCTTCATACTTCTGGTTCCTCATGTTGATCTGAGTCAGCAGGAAGTGGATGTACATTTCAGTCAGAGTTTGAGGGATTTCTGCTCTGTCATCTTCATTCAGGAGCTTCTGAAGCACAGTGGCTGAGATCCAGCAGAAGACGGGTATGTGACACATGATGTGGAGGCTTCTGGATCTTCTGATGTGGGAGATGATTCTGCTGGCTTGATGCTCATCGCTGATTTTCTTCCTGAAATATTCCTCCTTCTGAGAATCATTGTATCCCAGAATTTCTGTCAGACGGTTGATGTATTTTGAGGGGATCTGATTGGCTGCTGCTGGTCTGGAGGTGATCCAGATGTGAGCAGAGGGAAGCAGATCTCCTCTGATAAGGTTTGACATCAACACAGCCACTGATGAAGACTCATTCACATCACTAACTTTCCGTCTGTCTGAAAACTTCAGTGGGATTCTGCTTTCATCCAGACCATCAAAGATGAACACGACTTTACACTCCTCATACATCTCTGAGTCCAGATCTTGAAGTTCAGGATGAAAGTCCAGCAGAAGTGTGTGAAGACTGTACTGATGATCTTTAATCAAGTTCAGCTCTCGAAATGGAAGCACAAACATGAAATCTACATCCTGATTGGCTTTTCCTTCACTCCAGTCTAGAATGAACTTCTGCACAGAGACGGTTTTTCCAATTCCAGCGATGCCTTTAGTGAGAACAGTCTTGATCTGGTCTTTCTCCTCATGTTCTGGTTCTTGTAAGGGTTTAAATATGTCATTGCAGTAGATTGGAGTGTCTTGTGTTCTGGCTGTTTTCTCCATCTGTAAAACCTCATGTTCTTCATTCACTCCTTCACTCTCTCCCTCTATGATGTAGAGCTGTGTGTAGATCCTGTTCAGGAGGGTTTGGTTCTCTTCTAGTTTAATTCCCTCAAATAATCTCTCACACTTGTCTTTCATGCTAGTTTTGTGTTGGTCTTTGACTCTTTGTCTGTTGAGGGTTTGAAAATCAATGCAGGTCAGACGGGGTTTCACCGATATGATTGCTTTATCATTCATTACTCTGTAGAAACAGAATGAACAGTAAAACTGTAAAAATATTTAAATTCAAATGTGTTTCTCAAAATAGTTGTGAAATGAACATGCCAATTACATTTCAAGAGTTCACACTTAGCTGATGATTAATTATAAAAGCTTGTTTGGCATGCTGTCCCGGGAGAGAGCCCTGAGCTCATGAGATCCTCGAGCCCAGGGCTCCCTCCCGTTGCAAGGCGGGAGGGGAGTTTGAGCTCAGGTAGATCTCGATAACTCCCCTGCTGTAGCAAGTGAATGCTCTTGAAATTAATTACTAACTAGAAGCGTGTCTATGTTGACAATTTGGATAGTTCAATTGACTTAATTGCATGTTTTTAGGCGGTGGGAGGAAACCGGGGGACCCGGGGGAAACCCACATGAGCACGGGGAGAAGTGCAAACTAAACACAGAAATGTCTGCTAGTTTTGGTAAAGCCAGGAACCAGAGACATTCTTGCTGTGAGGCGACAGTGCTAGGCACTGGGCCACCGTGTCACCCGTCTAAGAAGGAGGAGTAGGGGAGGAAGGGGGGACTCTTCAAAACGAAGATAGCAATGGAATAAACCCCAGGGTATTTATAGTAGTTTAGGAGTCATCTGATTGGATCGTAGTGAATTAGATAATGCGGGTCAGCTGCTAGCAATCATAAGCACGTGATCCTCTCGAAATTTGTTTATACATAAACTTCACTTATAGTCTCTCTTTCATCAGCATAAACCCTTTATAGTCAAATTTAAAATCTGTCCTGGAAACCCAGAAGCCAGCAAAGGAACACTGAAGGCCTCCAGTGATTCTAAAGCCACTGAGTTTGATTTTGCAGCATTTAAATAGTGTGGTTCAGTGTTTGCTGTAAGGTGGTTCAGAATTCCTTTAAAGCCCCACCATCACCAACTAACTAGATCTGCTCTGAGATTTATTGATGTATATGTGTCTGACTGATACCATTTCCCACACATTATGTACTGCACCAAACAGATAATAAATATATTTTAACAAAGTGAATTCCTGGATCAACATCCTTGTTGATCATGTTGTGCAAATTCATACTCACTCATGGTCAGAGGTCATTGCTTTATCACTGAATTTAGGTGGAAATTCCATGGATCTGTCACTCTTCACAGACACACAACTGGGCTCTGGAGATGCTGTTTTATGTGTCTGAACACCATCCTCCCCTCCCTTCTCACAGAGACAGCTAATACTTAAGAAAAAAAATTGCAAAACAAAATACAGCCTTATTCCAAAATGGATTAAATTCAATACGTTTCTCAACATTTAACAAACAATACCCCATAATGACAATGTGAAATGTATTTTACATACAAGTAAATTTTCTTTTATATAAATTATAAATTTATATGGTGCATCTGGTTTCTACTGATGGGCTTTACACTTAAAAATGTCACTGATTAGATGAACAGCATGCAAAACTTTGATAAGGGTTTCATAACCCTGGGTAGAATGCGGTACTAACACCACTTTCAAATTACAGGTGAGAAACACCAACTAGCACTCTGCAGCCTTCACACTGAAACCAATGTTCTGACTCTCTGTGGTCACTTGGAAAAAATAAAAATTTACAGAATGTTAACAGAAGGGATGGGCTCCCCGGCATCCTAGCCAAATTTGCCTAATGGCCTGTGTCTATCATGACCTTCTAATCATCGCCATATCATAATTTGCCTTCATCATTCTGTCTCCGCTTCACCAATACGCTGGTGTGTGAACAATGCACAGTTGACAATGCATGTCAGAGTACAAACAAAGCCATGAAGTCCAATAAATTGTCTATTCACCTCTGAGACAGGATTACATTGAGGCACAGATCTGGGAAAGGGTACTAAAAACAATTCTGCACCATTGAAGATTCCAATGAGATCAGTGGCCTCTGTAAACTGTAAATGGAAGAAGTTTGAAACCACATGACTTGTCCTAAGGTGGGCTACCTGGCTAAACTGGGAAATGTAGCTTTTAGCGATAGTTCTACCAGAAAGACAAAATGTCACGTCACTTATTACAATCAGTTCCAACCAATAGCCATGAGACACAAGGAATATATAAGCTGTCCATTCATTTCATTCATTTGGTTGCAGGCACTGACGCAGACGTTCTCCCCCCGTCCTCCATACCACCACCACCAGGTTGACCCTGTCCAGGGGTAAAGTTTTGCCTCTGCCTTCGTCCTCGGCAGATGAAGCTGGATCTAAATGCTTCCAAACCAAGCTACGAAAAAGGCCTTCACCAAAGAAATCCTGTTTTGTTAAATGATACTCTTGTCAAACAATACTCATCAATAAATGTAATTCAGTATCACAATTATCTCCCTGGTCTTTCTGGTAGATATAAGGGGACAAGGGCCAAAGTCAGGAAGGAAATCAAGAACCCCATGGTCACTCTGAAAGTGCTCCAGCATTTCTCTGTGGACAGAAGAAAACCTTCTAGAAGAACAACAATGTCTGCAGCACTCCACCAAACAGATGTGACAGAAGCCATTCCTCAGTAAAAGGCACATGGACTGTCCACCTGGAGTTTGCCAAAAGGCAGCTGAAGGGCTCTTTCACAATGCCATCTCTGCAATGAATGTAGCATAGTGGTGCAGCAACAAGCGTTGAGGATAATTTTACAATAGCAGAATTTAGGCAGGGTTAAGGGTAGGATAAATTAAGTAATGTACAGAGACATAGTTGATGAAAACCTGCTCCTGAACAAGCTGTACCTCAGACTGGGGTGACAGTTCATCTTTCAACAGGACAATGACCCAAAGCACACAGGCAAGATATAAAATAAGCGGCTACAGGACAATTTGGGGAATGTTGAAGGTTTTGCTTTTTATAGCTGTTAAAGTGATAATTGTTATAATGTTGTGTATATAATGACAAAAGCTTCAGCAACTAATGGCAACAAGAAAACTTGATTATTCATTTTTCTTTAGTGATTTTTTTTAGTTTCTCTGACAGGTTATTTAAGTTTCTTTTGAAATGTTTTTTTAGTTTATTTTATTTGTATTGTTTGATTATGTGTTGATCTGAAGTGGATTCATGTCAATAATTGATTACCACCTGTGTACACTGCAAAAAAATGTTTTTCTCACTTAGATTTTTTGTCTTCTTTCTAGTCCAAATATCTAAAAATTCTTAAATCAAGAAGCATTTTCTAGACAAACAAAACATTGTCTTGTTTTTTAAAAATAATATGCCAATATTAAGTTAGTTTTTCCTCAAAACAAGCAAAATAACCTGCCAGTGGAGAAAGCAATGATCTACTTTCTCCTTTTATTTTTCTTACCCCATTGGCAGATTATCTTACTTGTTTTAAGGATAAACTCAATTTTGGCATATTTTTTCTTAAAAACAAGACACTATCTTTTGCTTCTCTAGAAAATTCTTCTTGATTTAAGAATTTTTGGGTATTTGGACTAGAAACAAGACAAACAATCTAAGTAAGAAAATTAATTTTTGCAGTGTAGTTAGCTCCTGCTGATTGATTGGGTAACAACCAAAATCTCGGTTTTTAATACAAAACTATATGTTCCAAGATGGATATTTAAAGCCTTTATAGCACAGGTGTCAAACTCAGTTCCAAAAGGGCCGCAGCTCTGCACAGTTTAGTTCCAACCCTAATTAAACACACCTGATCAAACTAATTCTCCTCCTTCAGGTTTGTTTGAAACCTACAGGTAAGTGTGTTGGAGCAGGGTTGGAACTAAACTGTGCAGGGCTTCGGCCCTCCAGGAATTGAGTTTGACACCCCTGATTTAAAATGTTTATGTGTGATGTGTTTTTAGTGCCCTGAAAAAGGCTTTTAAGCCGAAACAAGTTGGTATTTATTTTATTTTATTAAAATGTTCTTTTATTACATGTGTTGCTGGAGTTTCCTGTTTTTACTATATTTGCATTTTGTCCATCACCTTGTGGTTGAGGGCTCCAGCACTTCCCTTAGCAATAAGAATATCTGATACAGGCAAAAAGCCTGCATGAAAGCAGTATTACTGGCAACAAACAAGATGACTACACAATTCTATTATGAAAAATTAACTTCCGAATTGACATCCTCTTTTTTTAGTTGCTGGTATCTAGTTTGTGTTTCAAACATTGTTTCTCTGATGTACTTAATATGGTAAAAAGAAAACATTAATACTCACTCATGGTCAGATGCCACTCCTTCGTCACTGAATTTAGGGGGAAATTCCATGGATCTGTCACTCTTCACCGACACACAGCTGGGTTCTGGATGTTTCTCATCTTTTTTCTCATAGAGACTCATTTTATATAATCTCCCACTTCAACAGAAGTGTTTCCTACATCAAATTTGAAAAATCAAATACATTTTAGTTTTATTACAAATGTGTATGGTTATTAGCTATATTTTGAAATAAAATCAAATCGAAATAAGTTGAATCAAACATTAAAAGGCGATTTTAAATTTGTAGTGTCAAAAGGGTAGTTTTAGTATTTAAATGAAATATTATTTAAAAATGAAGCCATAATAACTAATAATAAGGGCATAAATACAAATATTTGCACGTACCCAAAAATATGTAAAAATGCATTTAGAAATTGATTGATTTGCTCAAACCTACCTCTATCTCAACGATGAAGTTCAATAGTTTATCAACTACAAACTATACATTCAATTCATAAATCCATTCCGTCTCTGTAGCATTATATGTTCTCATACTTATTCACAAACAGCTTTTGCGATGTCGTTCAGCTGTCTGACAAAATGTATTCTGCTGAAACTTTCACTTTTGATATAAACCGGTCAAACAGGTTATACAAATGATTATGACGCTTGACTGGTTAGGGAAGGGCAAACAAATAGACTTAAACAGCAGGTTTGATGGTTAAGCTTATAGGGGTAGGCTAGGTGTAGGGTTAGGGCAGGCCATCAATAAAATGAGTATCAATAACTTCATATAAAAATGGTAGAAGTCTGTGTAATAAATTGCAACAAACCTCTGTCCAGCTGTGTGTGCCCTCTCTTTCGTTGTGTGTGTGTGCGTGTGAGAAACACCTGCGTAGATGAACCGGTTACTTTCTGATGTTGACCACATCTAATCCAAATGTAAACACAAAAGAAAAGTAGCCTATGTTTACAGTAATGCTCTCACTCTATGTGGGATAAAATGAAAACAGCGTATTCTGAAATAGGTGAACATTAGTAAACATGTTTTTAATAGAATTTTGGCTGTAAAAGCGCACTTACAGGTGTTTCAGGCACAGGTCAAAATTTCTCTAAGTCATAATTATTTATTTATATTATTTATGTGTAAAAGTGATCATACCTGTCCAGTTTCATGCGGAATGCATCCAAGATCACCTTCTGAATTGGTTTAAGAGATCAGATATCTGATCAGAATAAAACGAATGAAGTGACCAAACAGCCTCAAAAACACAGACGTGACGGGAATATACATTGAATATGAATAATTATATTACTTATATAATAAATATATTATATAATATTAAATTACATAAAATAATTAAAAGGTCACATGCTGGACCTTTCGGCCGTGGGGGTGGTTAGTAACAAGGAACATGCTATTAGGTTATGTGACCGCTAGATGGCGGTCTTGGATAATAAGAAGTTTACCACCACTATGAGTTTGTCAGTCATAGTAGTGTGTCCCAGCCGGGCTCACTTTCTGTTATAATGTCCCGCATCTGTCTTTAATTATATTCATCTGTCTCCATATTCTACTGCATCCCAGAATATTACACAGCACAAAAATGTAAATAAATATTCAGTATATTTTATATGAATTTGTCCACAGCCGACCGCAACTCGCCTTGACGAAGATTTCCGAGCCTGTGTGCTCCAATCACGTGTGCTCTCTTCAGCGCTCACCATGACAACGAGACTCACAGCAATGACATGGCATTGTAAACATTTGCATATGCATTCCTATTAAGCTCGTCGGTTCTCTCTCTGTGTTGTCAGTTCGCTCGGTGTTGCTGTTTGTACTTGACAAAGGTGAGTTCAATACCTGACGGTACGAGTGGAGCCACGCGAGGCGGCTTGTGAACCCTAGGCAGGGATCAATACAAGCCGTGAGGACCCTCAGGGAAACACGTGAGGCCGGTAGTGGGACTCCCCGCTGCGAGGGTTATGGTGGGTGGGCGCAGCAAGGCCCATTCTTCGTCTATTTTAAACTATAGTTTCAAACTTTAGTTTACTATAGTTTAAAATAGAAACCATGATAACTGTAAATGTTTTAACTGTGTCTGGCTGTTGAGAGAGTTGCAGAGTTGTTGAGCAAAGTAGGAGGATTGAAGACAACCGCGGATTATATTGATGAGCGCGCATTATAATGTTTCCGGCCTGTTTTCTGAAAGTTTATCTTGTTTAGATAAGTTTGCAGGTTAAACTAAATAAACTATACTCTTTCTAAACATCTGTCTAGTGTTTTGTCTTCTACAGCAATACACTATCAGATAAGTCTGTTGAATGCATTTGTGCAACATGGTTTGACAATACAGTAGTCTAACAGATAAATAGTTGTTATAAATGTACCTTCATTAGTCGACATTTGGTGTAGGTAATAAAAAGTTAATCAAAGATGTCCTAAGACATAATGGTAATGTTATGGTTGTTACATAACTGTATATATTATTATTCTGTATGTTTAAAACCAGCAGAATATACTATATATTTAACATGTCATGAACTTACTGTTACTCAAACATTTGCTTACTAAAAATGTCCTAAGACAAGAATGGGTTTTGTTTTGGTTTTATGTCAAACTACTGTAGGTTTTAGGTTGACTACAGCAGGTATCTATATCATATTATTGGTAGTCAGAGCTATTTTAATGACCTGAATCAAGTAAAATGTCTTTTTCACAAGTACTTTTAGCATGCAAAAGTCAAATTTAAGTATATAAAACAGTTTCCAACAAAACAATTTTGTCTTGTGAAAATGACCAGTGGGTGGTGAGAAAAAAAAATTAATGTCAAGTTATATATATATATAAAAGAAGTTGAACAAGTTGTCATAATATTTAGTCATAATGCATGTTTCTATATATTTCCATTAGATCCTTTTTTCTAAATCTATAATTGGTAAATTGCTCCTAGGTCAATCTGGACTTTGTCTAATGAAGGTGTATCTGAAGGGAGATTGTCCTATGTTCACATTTCTACTTTTGCTTTGTTTTTTACTTTGTCCTATGCAGCGCTGTCTTTTCCTTTCTGTATCACAAGGGCATGATCTGCCAACAAATTACAGTACAAACAGCAAAGAAAGAAAGAAAGAAATTAGCCACAGTTTGCATCAGAACATCGCTCCAGAGTACACTGGATTTTAGGGATTTTTGTTGCTGGGCTAGCTAGTTAGAAGTCATCATAACCACACTTTTTAATGTACTAAAATATTTCCTAAAAATTGCAATAAACATTTTTTTAAACAAGACTAATTTTAAAAATACAAATTTACTACATAATACATAATTAGGAAAAAATAGCAATCTGTTAAAGTTTTAAAGTAAAAAAAACTGTAGCCTACTGTCATTTATTAGACAAAAACAAACTGGCCAGCACATTCAACTGCCCTCCGTCACAATTTGGCCATTTAAAAAAAAAAAAAATAATAATAATAATAATAATAATAAATAATTAAAACATAATAATATCAATAATAATAAAACAATTGTAATGAATTCTTTGGTAAAAGAAAAAAAGTACATTTGAAAATTCCTGGATATCAACAATAGCCTAAATATCTTCATATTAATTTAATATGGTCCGCTTCTGGTGCTTCACACCTTTTTATTGCTAATTTTTATTTCAGAAAAAACAGGAAGTATGATACTTTAGCCTTATCCTATTTGGCAGTCTTTTTGAACATATGTTCAATATTTTGCAATGATGACGCAGCTGCCTGCCTTTTCTGCCTCTTTTGCTCTTTTCGACCCATAATGTTACTCAGTATGGATGTCGCATCAAAAATTCAAATATGATCACTCATATTTGGGTTATGAGATGTGAATCGCGACTTTGAGGCTCGATTCCTGGCCAGAGTTATTAAAAATTACACTTTATTACAATATATTTTAAATATAAATATAATTTTATTAATTACATAATAAATATATCCTATAATATTAAATTACATAAAATAATTAAAAGGACAAATTCTGGACCTTTTGGCCGTTGGGGGTGGTTCGTTTGACTTCGAACCACCCGAACCTCCCCTCCTGGCTAAGGGCATGATGTAGTGTTGCAGCAAGTAACATGACAACCCTGTTATACCATGCACTGATGTGCAAACTGTATTTTTGTCACTGCAACTTGTTAACCAGTTGTCCAATCAGCAGTGAAGGGGCGGAATAAATACACTGACCAATCAGTTCTTGTACAATGAACGAACAACAATACTAAAGAAGAAGTTAGTAATACTGGTTACTGCCTTCGATATTCTTCAAAATTACATACTACTATGTTACAGCCGTGGATTCCAAAAGAAAAAAAACAAAGCGTCTCAGCTGGAAAAACTTAAGTGCTTAAAAGTTTTTGACTCTTTTAAAAGCACAAAAATACCATAATATGTTTGCAGATATTTTAGAAACACGCTAAGAGAACATTATTGTTTATCTGAAAACAATGCTGAAGTCAGATATTCTGCTTTGAAAATATGTTTTCCGTGCCTAATTGCTGTCTTTTTTTTGTCCCTTTAACACTCAATGTCAGTTTAGCCAATTATATTTGAGCACCCCGAGTTGCCTTGGTGGAAAACAGCATATTTGATTCATTTAGTCATGAAGGCTCTCAAAGCATGCGTCCAAAACCAAAAACCGGTGGACAGTAGCAGACTCTGAAATGAGATGCAGGTTCAGAGTTATAAATAATATAATATAAATATTATGAACATAAGGTGAGCAGGTTACATTGTAGCCCTGTGTCCTTAAGACACGCTACGTGACTAGATTTGCAGTGATAAACAATTTGGCTGTTTGCACCAGACGAACCACGAAAGAAATTTAAACACAGCCAATCATAAGCACAGAATAGTGCACTCTCTGCACTCCAATGTAAAGAAAAGTTTCAGAATCAACTTAATACATATTAAACATTATTAAATGTAGATGCTGAGTCACTGATATGTGTTGGTTTGCACTGTCATGGTCTGAGCTAAACTATCTGCAGCTGCTTTCAGTAGTATGACAATAAATATCATGTGAAATGGCATTCAAACTCACATTATGAGCATTTAACACTGAATAAAGCACATGAGGTGTACCTGAGGTGATCATTGTCAGTTTTCTGTTGTTCAGCTGCAAGAAATAAAAGCAGTTTCTAAAATATAAATTTCCAGGTCTTAGGATAAAAAAAAAACTCCTTTTAGTATGGAAAATACTCCCTCTATCGCAAGCCGTTGCTTTTATATAGAACACGATTTAAATCAGCCTTTGTTGGTATCGTCAATCTAGGAACCTGCTCTTGCATGTGTTTTGAACCAGGGGTGCAATACCTAGTTCAACCACTGGGTGTCAAACTTACACGCTGCACCTTAAAGCATTCAAGCACCACCAGCTGGACATTTTTAGAAAAAGAGTCTTGAAGTTTGAAGCTGATAACTCTAAACGCTCTGGTGTTCACACGTTAATTAAAAATGTATTGAATGGAATATAACCATTCAATATTTTTGCATATATGAAACATATCAACCTTATACTGTAATGCGGAAGTGCGCTGGTTTTTGCGATGTTTTATAACATCCGATTCTGTTGCCTATGACTAGGAATAATAAACAGTGAATATATTTGCTCTACAAACAAGTGTGTTCATGACTGTACATAAAAAGTAGAATAATATAATAAGAAAATATCGATTTGCAACATCAAGCAGCACAACTAGCTGTTTTTAACATCTAAAAATCAATAGAAGTGCACCTGCTTGTATGTAAAAAATAAAGTCAATAGGATGGGAGTCCAGAATAACCCACAGCATTCCTGAACATGTAACAAGCATAGTTGTATTTACAGCCAGTCTCTCAGATCTGTCTGATGAAAGTGGATTATAAATCACACAGAGACACTGATGAGTCCCAGCCAATCCTAAATCCAGCATGGACTTGCTCAGTGAATGTGGTTTTGAATGTGTGTAGAAGTGTGAGTGTGTCTGTGTCAGAGACGCTGTAAAAGGACAGAGTGCCAGCAGGCCAGTCCAGAAACACTCCTACTCTGTTAATGGGACAGGTAAATTCACTTAATAATTCAAACTTATCATGGTGTCTGACATAGACTGTCTTATTAAAGCAGTTTAGAATCCAAGACATGTTATTTAATCCCATCCAGCATTCTTTTTTCCATCCTTTCCTGCTGATTTCTTTATATGCCACTGATATGTAGGTCTCCCCACCACTCAACTCAACCTCCCAGTAACAGCGTCCAGTCAGACTTTCTTTACACAGAACCTGAGGATTGTACTCATCAAATCTCTCTGGATGATCAGGATATGGTTGCTCTTCTCGCGCACGTGTAATCTTTCTGTTCCCCTCTGACAGAGCGAGATAAGGGCTGACCGTGTTTAAATCCACTGTGAGATCACACGCATCTGAACACAACAAGAGAGATAATAAAACAAATCAACAGTGAGGTTTGTGCATGTGTGTGTGTGTGTGTAGATCTCTCAACTAAAAAAATTATTTATTAAACCCAAGCTGTAATGCTGGAAGAATTTGGGATGTGTGATAATGTTTTCAAACAGCAGAAGGCGCTTTAGGCTAGTTTTGAAGCAGCAGACAGTGCTCTAGGCTATTTTTAACAGCAGACAGTGCTCAAGGCTCGCTTTTAACAGCAGACGGGGCTCTGAGCTAGTTTTTAAACCAGTGATGGTGCTCTAGGCTAGTTTTTAAACAGCAGACGGCGCTCTAGACTAGTTTTTAACAGCAGACTGTGCTCTAGGCTATTTTTTTTTAACGGCAGATGGTGCTCTGTGCTAATTTTTAATCAGAAGATGTTGCTCTAGGCTAGTTTTTAACAGCAGATGGCGCTCTATGCTAGTTTTTAAATCAGCAGATGGTGCTCTATGCTAGTTTTTAAATCAGCAGATGTTGCTCTAGGCTAGTTTTTTTAACATCAGATGCTACTCTAGGCTAGTTTTTGAACATCAGATGCCGTTCTAGGCTAATTTTCAAACAGCAGACGCGCTTTAGGCTAGTTTTTAAGAGAAGATGGTGCTCTAGGCTAGTTTTCAAACAGCTCTAGTTTTTAAACAGCAGACAACGCTCTAGGTTAGTTTTTAAACAGCAGTCGGCACTCTAGACATTTTTTTAACAGCAGACGTTGCTCTAAGCTAGTTTTTAAACAGTAGACAGCACTCTAGGCTAGTTTTTAAACATCTGAGGGTGCTCTAAGCTAGTTTTTAAACAGCAGACTGCACTCTAGGCTAGTTTTCAAAAAGAAGATGGTGCTCTAGGCTAGTTTTTAACAGTATGGTGCTGCAGGTTAGTTTTCAAACAGCAGACAGTACTCTAGGCTAGTTTTCAAACAGCAGGCGCCGCTTTAGTCTAGTTTTTAAACAGCCAATGCGCGCTAGGCTAGTTTTAAAACAACAGACATCGGTTTGGGCTAGTTTTCAAACAGCAGGCGGCACTCTAGTCTAGTTTTTAAACAGCCGATGGCACTCTAGGCTCGTTTTAAAACAACAGACAGCACTCTAGGCTAGTTTTCCCTTTTACATTTACATTTAACAGCAGACTGGGCTCTAGGCTAGTTTTTAAACAGCAGACGGTGCTCTGAGTAGTTTTCAAAAAGTAAATGGCACTCTAGGCTAGTTTTTAAACAACAGATACTTTAGGCTTGTTTTAAATAGCAGAAGGGTGCTCTAGGAAAGTTTTTAAACAGCAGACGGTGCTCTAGGCTACTTTTAAAATAGCAGAATAGTGCTCTAGATTAGTTTTTAAATAGCAAAATGGTCCTCTAGGAAAGCTTTTAAACAGCATACGGTGCTCTAGGCTAGTTTTTAAACACCAGATGGCGCTAGTTTTGAACAACAGGCGGCACTCTAGGATGGTTTTGAACAGCAGATGGTTATTAACCATACACTCAAATGCTCAAGAGGAAGAGCACATCAAAGTTTAGGTTATGTAAGTTTCAAGATTCAAGAGAGAATAGCGATTAGCAAGACCAGCTAAAAGTTTAACCTTATGACTTAGAGCGAAGAGCTGAAAATAAATACTAATGCTTAGAGCTCGATTTCTGAAATAGTTTTTCACCATAGCTCCAAGCATTAGTATTTATTTTCAACTATCTGCTCTGAGGCATGAGGTTCACTTTTTACCCGGTCTTGCTAAAATCATTACAGCACCTATTGGGGAGTCAGGTGTAAAGATATTGAGGCTCAATCTGATTTTTGATAGACAAATTTTGATAAACAACATATAGATGCAACAAACAAATGTTTGGGACATAAAATAAATGTAATTTACCACACCTCTCCTTAAAATGGATATTGCACAAACTATTATCTCATTATAATAACCATATCCAAATCTTTTCTATATTAGTACTATTAGTATATTAGTACTTTCAATGAGGTAGCTTAAGAAGTAGGTTTAAAAAAATATTATTTGTCCAATAAAAACTCAATTGAGTTGGTGACCTACATTTCTGTGGTCCTGCCTTGATCTTTCCTCCATGGTCCACACTATAAAATAAAAGAATAAAAAAAGTAAGAAAATAAAGCCCCACACATGGTTCTTGAACAAAAAAAAATGTGGCTTGCCAGGTTTATAATCTTTATCAGTATTAATATTCTGTGCAGCATATGCTTTTTTGATTTCAAACACACATCCAAACAAAAAAGACTAGATGTTTTTATTGTTGAACATACTTGAGTGTGGTCAGTCTGTAGTTTTTATCAGAGATTAGCTCCACTAATGATTGTCCTGGGTTATTGTAGCTCAGATCCAGCTCTCTCAGGTGTGAGGGGTTTAATCTCAGAGCTGAAGCCAGAAAACAACAGCCTTCCTCTGTCACCATACAGCCAGATAACCTACAAACACACACAACATCACATCATCTGCAATATTAGAACTGATTAAAGGGATAGTTCACCTAAACTATCAAAAGAAAATTTAAATCCATAATCAATGACACAAAATTATGACACTGACTGGTCACATTTCAATACACATTCAAACCTCAGTATCTCCAGATGACAATGTGAACTCTTCAGTCCATCAGAGAGCAGCTTCACTCCTGAATCCTGCAGGTCATTGAGACTCAGGACAAGTTCTCTCAGTGAGTTTGATGATTGTAGCAATGAAGACAAACTTTCACAGCACTGACCAGTGAGATTACAGTCAGCAAGTCTACAACACAGGATAAGAAATGATTGAAATTGATCACACAACTAATAATCTATGCTTTAGTTTCACCATAATATAAATATTATAGGAAATGCATGCAAGGGTGATAAGCTCTTTTGTACTTACAGAGCTTCTGGAAAGTATTCATAGCGCTTCACTTTTTCCACATTTTTTAATGTTACAGCTTTATTCCAAAATGGATTAAATTTCATTATTTCCTCAACATTTTCCACACAATACCCCATAATGACAATGTGAAAAAAAGATTTTCTGAAATTGTTGCAAATTTATTAAAAATAAAATCACATGTACATCAGTATTTATAGCCTTTACTCAAAATTTTTATTACATTTAGCCAATCTCCAGGTGTGACAGGAGCCCTTTTAGAATAGATTAGCATCAGTGGTGTAGTCCTTGCTATACGAACGTATACTCAGTATGCTTACTTTTTTCCATGAGCTGTTTGGGTATTAACACTTCTAAGGATCAGTAATTGAGTATACCATCAGTATACTCACTTGTTTTTCTGATTAAACTTCCCTAATTTACATCTATTTGCGTCCCCTTTAACTGTATACCAAACGGGTTTTTTTTTTAACTCACAACTTAATTTGTTAAGATGTGCCTATTTCTTACAATTCTTACTTAAATATATATAAATATATATATATATATAAATATATATATATATATATATATATATATATATATATATATATATATATATATATATATATATATATATATATATATATATATATGACAGATTTTTCTTTGTTTACCCCAAAAGGATCTGATCCTGATTCACCCTAAAATTAAAATCCTAAAATCGCCCCTGTAAAACAGTATTTCACATTTGTCTTAATTGTGCCGCTAGTGAACGACACTATACGGTATACAACACTAAAAACAATTAGGCAAAGATTACTCATAAATGGCGTAACAATGTGCGATTTAAAAGGGTAACTACTAGTATATAATAGCGACAACAGAAGACAGACTCCTTTGGTTTAAAACAAGCATGCACGAATGTGACAATTAAAAATAATTGCTGATTGATGTTTAAATGAACCTATAAAATGTAAAGTAATAAGCCAGTAAAGAAAGTAAGCTAAAAAGCTGTCTTTCCATGTATGCACAGGCCCTTTTGAGTTAACTTAAATACAGGTAACTGATGTAAAAAAAAAAAACAATAAAAAAAACAACAAAAAAAATTATATATATATATATATATATATATATATATATATATATATATATATATATATATATATATATATATATATATATATATATATATATATATATAATCTCCAATGAATCGAAGAAACATAGACTTTCGTCGTTTCTTTGCCTACTTTTATTTAAAATTTGTGTCGGGTGTAATAGTACACCACCTTTTTTTCTAGGACTACACCACTGATTAGCAAGAGCCATTGAATAAGACCATTAAAATCTTGCTCAAATTAAAAAAAAAATGTTTTTATAATATTCCTATTTAAAGCTTGACTCATCTGTAATGGTGCTACAAGACCAACGGCATAATAATCAATGAACTTTGCTGCTGTACCATGGCTGCAGCAGGCACAATGATATTATGCAGATTCTAACTGGTGGTGCAAATGCAGACTTTGGTGCTGTGTAATATCAATAAATCTGTTTTTCTTACTTCAGTATCTCAAGCTGACATTGTGAACTCTTCAGTCCATCAGAGAGCAGTTTCACTCCTGAATCCTGCAGGTCATTGTGACTGAGGTCCAGCTCTCTCAGTGAATTTGATGATTGTAGAGAGGAAGACAGACTTTCACAGCACTGACCAGTGAGATTACAGCAGTCAAGTCTACAACACAAAACAGAGTCAAACAAAAAGGATATTGTGTGTTAAATTACAAGATATTTGAAACATTGATCACATGCTTGATGAACTACTCTTTATCAAGAAGAGCTTTAATGAACGCCTATTTTAAAAATTGCAGAGGTGCTGTTTTATAATATATTAAATACATTCAAAAGTTCTTTTAGGGGCGGCACGGTGGCGCAGCGGGTAGCACCATCGCCTCACACCAAGAAGGTCGCTGGTTTGACTAGGTCAGTTTGCATATTCTCCCTGTGTTGGTGTGGGTTTCCTCCGGGTGCTCCGGTGTCCCCCATTTTGCGGTTCATTCCACGGTGGAAACCAAAGAATTATAAAGAGACTAAGCCAAAAAGATAATGAATGAATGAATAAATAAAGTGTATTTAATAAATACAATAAAAACTATTTACTAGTGTCATATTTTTACATTTGATTACTTTCTGTAGTATTTATTAATATCCTGAATACTACTGATTGAATACTACAATACTATAAACCGTCCTCAAGTGCTCCAAAATGCAGCCTCCAGGCTTCTTACTGGCACCTGTAAGTTTGAACACATTACTCCTATCCTGTGCTCCCAACACTGGTTGCCGATAAGTTTTAAAGTTGAGTTTAACATTTTAATGTACATTTTTAAGGTATTAAATGTCCAGGCTCCAACTTATCTCTCTAAATTTTTAACTGTTAAAATATCAGGCAGATGTTTAAGGTCATCGAACAAGAAAATTCTAGTAGTTCCCAGATCTAAATTGAAAAAAAGGAGATTTTTCTGTAGTAGTTCCTAAAATGTGGAACGGGCTACCTATGTCTATTAGAACAATTTCCTAATAACCTTTGATCCTATTGAAGAAATCTGGGGTGTGTTTCCCAAAACCATTGTTAGCCAACTAAGGTTGCAAGTTCCGTCGTTACAAACATAGTTCGTTGATTTGCCATTTCCCAAATCCACTGTTTTAAGGAACATTCGCAAACTGCGTCCGAAACTCGTGCACTTGCAACTACACCGCTGGAGCTGTAGTCAGAAACATAGTTCCTGGCTGTGTTCTATTCCCCGTAATCACCACTATGGCCTATTCATTTAGAACATTCTTACATTTAAACTTGGAAAGAGTAAAATTAAAAAAGCATTAAAGTCATCTCTCTTAGGTGTAATTTGCTTTCAAAGTATTTTTACATTTCAGTTTTAGCGATCTTCATGTTTACAATTGCGCTCCCTTTACAGTGCACTTTGAAACCATTGATGTCATTTTGAACACAGCCGTGGGACATGAGAAAGTTATAGGTGACCTATTAATGTATTTAAAAGCAGAATTTTGTCACGTCTCCAATGTTTGTGAAAACAAAATATATAGCATACGTTAAAGCTTTTTAATTTATAGTAGGTTAGTTATTAAGTTCTGTACTGTATATGACATGGACCTGTGGGTTAGAACATTTCTGGAGTGGTTTGCATGTGTCAAATTGTAAAAGTAGACTGTAATAAATAATTAAATATCCTACTTAATAATAAACAATCATCATCATAATCATTAATATTATTGTTAAAATAGGATTTTTTTTCATTTGCTAATAAATAATAAATTTCATTTCTCAATAAATCGCCTTATTATTTATTTATATGTCAAATATATATAGTAATTATATATTTTAAAATTGAACATGTTATGTTCCCAATAATATTTGTGAAGGGAACACAGGCCCTATATGTGCCGTTTAAATATATTTCCATTGATATGGAAAACGAGTGCATATTTTTACCAAATCTAATATTGCATTTTATTTTAAATGTGTGTGCGTGTAAGCTAATAAAAATTGCACAAAGATATTATGGGTTTCTTCTCTAAAGAAGTAGTTATCCCACCCCACTTTTATTTCATGTTTACAATGCAAATCTAATTAGATCCACTTTATTTGGTAAACAAAGCAAGTATCTCATATTTAATAATTTTTTTTGTATTAATTTAAAGGATGAATAAATATAAACTTACACACATTTGCACAAGTAAATAAACAGAAAAAACAGTGGGCTAAAAATCTGCGGAATTCTGCGCACGCAGATTCCATGTGGGCCTTGTTGTAACAAATGTGGTTTAAACAATGGATCTGCGACAGAGAAACTACGGGTTTTGGGAAACACTCGTCATTACATAGTTTTTTTTTCCCAAACGAGACATCATACTATGATAATTCAGCCTTAAGTTAGGTCGTTATTTTGGAAACGCACCCCTGGTGTCTTGTTATTTATCGTTGTTGCCATGTCGTGTGTTGGATGTATTGTATGTTGTTTTTGTGTTGCTATCTATTTTTGATCATTTCCTTATAGGTTTATACAGCACAATGGTCAACAACTGTTGCTTTATTGCGCTTTATAAATAAATACACAAAACGACTGTAAAACACACCTACAAGAAATGACAATTACCTTATTTCAGCTGTATTTTTGTCGTATTGTAGGCCTATGTGTGCAATTTATATTTGTGCTGTTTTTTGCGTCTCAAAAAACAGACACATTTAGTTTAATCACATCAACCAATACTCACAGAGCTTTCCTGCAGTTCACCACAGCTGGTATCAGTCTCCATCTGCCCTCATCTGATGTTTTGTATCTCTTCAGATCAAACTCATCCAGCACCTCCTCTGATATCTGAAGAATGTAGGCGATTGCCGAGCAGTGAGAGGAAGTGAGCGGACTAACGGAGAAATGCTCTGATTTCATAAATTCTTGAATATCTCTGTGTGGAGTCTGATCCTTCATTTCCAGCAGACAAAGGAAGAGATTAATGGATCTTTCAGCAGAAACACTCAAATTGTTTGGCTTTACCATATCACATGAAAGCAGTCCTAAACTAGTAGATGAAGAACCAAAAGGCTGTTTGCCCTTAATTTTATCTTTGATGAACTGTGTGATCCTCTTAATGCTTTCTAAGGAGCTCTCTGTGTGTGGTAGTAGACCCTGTAAGAGATTCTGATTGGACTCCAGCGAGACACCCAGCAAAAACCGCAGGAAAAGATCCAGGTGTCCATTTTCACTCTTTAAAGATTCAAGAACTGCTTCATTTAGAAGATTAGACAAATGCATTTCAGGACCATCCCAATGTAATCCAAAAACACATCTACATTGTTCTAGGATTGAACGGATATTGGGGCCAAATAACAACTTCAGCGCCCTCTCATTCTTGACTACATGGCAGTAAAACACAAAGAAAGCAGCGAGAAACTCCTGAAAGCTCAGATGAATGAAGCTGTAGACTTTCCTCTGATGTATCACAAGTTCCACTTTAAAGATCTCAGTGCAAATCCCAGAATACACTGAGGCATCAGTGACGTCTATGCCGCTCCTAATCAGGTCCTCTTCATAGAACATCACATTGCCCTTCATCAGCTGTTTGAAAGCCAGTTTAGCGAGTTTCACGATCATCTCTCTGCTGGACTCCAGGAGATTCTCTGGATCTCTCTCTTCATACTTCAGGTTCCTCATGTTGATCTGAGTCAGCAGGAAGTGGATGTACATTTCAGTCAGAGTTTGAGGGATTTCTGCTCTGTCATCTTCATTCAGGAGCTTCTGAAGCACAGTGGCTGAGATCCAGCAGAAGACGGGTATGTGACACATGATGTGGAGGCTTCTGGATCTTCTGATTTGGGAGATGATTCTGTTGGCTTGATGCTCATCGCTGATTCTCTTCCTGAAATATTCCTCCTTCTGAGAATCATTGAATCCCTGAATTTCTGTCAGACGGTTGATGTATTTTGAAGGGATCTGATTGGCTGCTGCTGGTCTGGAGGTGATCCAGATGAGAGCAGAGGGAAGCAGATCTCCTCTGATGAGGTTTGACATCAACACAGCCACTGATGAAGACTCATTCACATCACTAACTCTCTCAATGTCTGAAAACTTTAGTGTGATTCTGCTTTCATCCAGACCATCAAAGATGAACACGACTTTACACTCCTCATACATCTCTGAGTCCAGATCTTCAAGTTCAGGATGAAAGTCCAGCAGAAGTGTGTGAAGACTGTACTGATGATCTTTAATCAAGTTCAGCTCTCGAAATGGAAGCACAAACATGAAATCTACATCCTGATTGGCTTTTCCTTCACTCCAGTCTAGAATAAACTTCTGCACAGAGACGGTTTTTCCAATTCCAGCGATGCCTTTAGTGAGAACAGTCTTGATCTGATCTTTCTCCTCATGTTCTGGTTCTTGTAAGGGTTTAAATATGTCATTGCAGTAGATTGGAGTGTCTTGTGTTCGGGCTGTTCTCTCCATCTGTAAAACCTCATGTTCTTCATTCACTCCTTCACTCTCTCCCTCTATGATGTAGAGCTGTGTGTAGATGCTGTTCAGGAGTGTTTGATTCTCTGCTAGATTGATTCCCTCAAATAACTCGTATTTGTCCTTCATGGATGATTTGTGTTGGTCAGTCACTGATCTGACAGCAGCATCTCTCTTCAGTCTGCAGAAAACAGTGAGATGAACAGTAAAAAAGCATTATAATTTAGAGAATGATTTGAATGTTCCAGATTTATTTATGCATTTCATATACTATGGTCATCATGCATTAATGTATATTCTAAAAATCTCAAAAATGAGAAAGGCTTTTGTTTGAACCACCCACTGTCTCTTCAGCAATGACCTGAGCATCACACATACACTTCACTCACTTTGTATATCAATTCCAAGAATCAGATTTTGAATTCAATACCTTTTAAGACATTTTTAAGACTCTTTGCATACATCTTAAGATCTCATCACCACTTCAGGTTTTAACCAGTAATATTGCTATAAAACTTGAAGTACATTTACTAAATACTGATTGCAAGAAACAAATCCTAAACTAAAATTGTATTCATTTACTGAATAAAAATGTTAATTCAGCAGGTGGCGCCTTTAAAACAGCATGAATAACAGTGTTTCCCTGGTTACTGCAGTTAACAAAGTAGCGCAATTTCTAGCAGGATTTGTTTGACTTCATAAACTAGGCAAGGCAAGTTTATTTATATAGCACATTTCATACACAGTGGCAATTCAAAGCCCTTTACATAAACTACACTCATCCCATTATTTAAAGATATTCAGGCAAACTTTAGCATACTGATACCACATTTAATACCTTGTAAAGTAGCATTTAAGACTTTTTAATACTTTTTAAGGGTCTTTAATATCTCTAAAATTGCTTTATAATTTTTTTTAATACTTTAAGACCCCGCGGAAAGCCTGCATTCATTTGGAAATCTTGTGATTAGTTTTTTACAAATATTTGAAACACATCATCCATAATCTTTCACAATATTTAATATTTGAAAATACCCTTACTCATTAAATATGAATAGTTAATCTAAAAATGTAAATCTACTCACAATGTTTAATGGAAGATTTAGAAAATGTTGGAAACTGGTAACCACTGACATCCATACAAAAAAATTCAAAATACCATAGAAGTAAATGGTTACCGGTTTCCGACATTCTTTCAAATATCTTCTTGTATTTAACAGAAGAAAGCAATGTTTGAAGGACAGCAGTTAAATCAAGTTTATACTTACCCAGGACTCATTGTTCTCTGTGTTTTGTTAGTATTGGATTCTCGAGATGGTGTTGTCAGATTGAAATTAGGAGGCTGTGGGATGGATTCAGCACTTCTCATAGACACACAGCTGGATTCTCGAGATGGTGTCCTTATATTGAAATTAGGAGGCTGTGGGATGGATTCAGCACTTCTCATAGACACACAGCTGGATTCTCGAGATGGTGTCTTTATATTGAAATTAGGAGGCTGTGGGATGGATTCAGCACTTCTCATAGACACACAGCTGGATTCTCGAGATGGTGTTATCAGATTAAAATTAGGAGGCTGTGGGATGGATTCAGCACTTCTCATAGACACACAGCTGGATTCTCGAGATGGTGTTATCAGATTAAAATTAGGAGGCTGTGGGATGGATTCAGCACTTCTCATAGACACACAGCTGGATTCTCGAGATGGTGTTATCAGATTAAAATTAGGAGGCTGTGGGATGGATTCAGCACTTCTCATAGACACACAGCTGGATTCTCGAGATGGTGTTATCAGATTAAAATTAGGAGGTTGTGGGATGGATTCAGCACTTCTCATAGACACAGAGCTGGATTCTCGAGATGGTGTTCTTATATTGAAATTAGGAGGCTGTGGGATGGATTCAGCACTTCTTATAGACACACAGCTGGATTCTGGAGATCCTGTCAACAGACTGAAAATAAGAGGATCTCATTAAATATGGTCCAATCATCATTAAACAAAACCAAAGCCCATAAGGAGTACATCAAGCTTCTCTACATGTCATTTGGCAAATCATGAAATTTACTCCTACTTTCAAACTTAAGTACAAAAGCAAATTTCTTTCTTCTATCGAACATAAAATATTTAGAAAAAAACTGAAAACATGGAACCATTAAAATCCATAGTAGGAAAAACAAATACTAAGTCAGTCAATGGTTACATTTTTCTAATTAATTTTGAACCATCTAATTAATATCTTTTGTGTTCAACAGGACTCAAACAGGTATGAAACAAGTCATTTTTTTTTGTAGACCAGGGGCCTGTTTCAGAAAGGAGGTTAAGTGAAAACTCAGAGTATTTTAACCCTGAAATGAGAGAAACTCTGGGTTTTTGGTTTCAAAATGGCAGGTTTGTTAAACTCAAGAAATCAGGGTAAGTCAAGCCTGTTTCTGAAAGAAAGGTAACTTTAACTCAGAGTCAGTTACTGTGGTAACTTACTCTGTGAATCTAACCTGGTACGGAGCAGGTTTTATTCTCTAAACTCTGAGTTTCTGTCGGTCTCCTCCCCTTTTTTAAAGATGAAGCGTATTTCTCGCATTAGTCTTACATTTCCACAGACCTATTTTAGAGCTCATTTTGAAGATGCCCATAAAAACGATTGATTAGGGATGTAACGGTATTGTAAATACCGTCATACCGCAATATTAAATTTTTTCGATATTACCGAAGTCGCATGACTCGGTAAAACTATAGGTCTTCTGAGAAAATTTGCTCAGGCGAATGAAGCGAACGGGAGGTAGCTGAAACTTCATTTCCCATCAGCCCCGGCGTGGCCATAATCCTTTGCGGTCTGTTGTCGCTACAGATCCAGTAATGCGGAAATGGAGTGTGCTGCTAGTAGCGGAGATGAAAAAAAGATGGAAATGATCGAACCTAAAGCGGGTGTTGTCGGCGCGCGCATGCTGAATAGCGGTGCTGTCGCGCGCGTTCTGATCAGCTGTGTTGTGGTGCGCGTATTGTAAAGCGCCGAGGGGGGGTTGAGCGCGCATACTCAAGAGAGGTGTTGTCGCGCGCCTACTGAAGGGCTGTACTGGACGGAGGTTGTGTCGCGTCGCGGGGGCACTTTTGATCGTTTTGGAAGGGCATTTTCTATCCAAGACTAAAAAGGGCATGTGCACTGCACAGGTTGAGCCCTATGTGTGCACGTGCCTGCAAGTTGGGAAATACGACTAATAACAGTCATGGGGACTGCAGAAACACAGCACACTGTTCAGATTGATGCAGACATTGACTTGTACCGCAAAGAGATCTCTATCTCACTCATGGTTTGTCTTCTCAAGTGGGGGAAAGACAATGCACAACGTTACCCCACTGCTGTCAACATGGGCCAAGTCATATCTCTCTTGTCCCAGAAACCTCAGTCCCAAATGAGAGGGTTTTTTTCTGTTGCAGGGGACATTGTAAATGCCCAGAGATACCAGCTTTTACCAGATTATAGTTATATGATAATTTTCCTTTAAACCCATCTCTATCTAAGTGAGTGATTAAATGTTAAATGTGATGAGTTTTTAACAATACTAAATTGAAACTTTATTTTTTTACATGGTTTAATAATTTTTTGTTATTAAAATTGAAGTTCCTGTTTGTAATTTGTATGTCATTGACACTTTTGGCACTTTTTTGGAGTATTTTCAAAAGTTTTTTTTTTCCCTGTAAATGATTCAATAAATACCGTACCGTGACATTCATACCGAGGTATTACCGTACCGTGAAATTCTGATACCGTTACATCCCTACGATTGATGGAAACGTCATGATTCACATAACTTTTGAAAATATGCATAATAAAACATTTGCATAACTGAGTAGGTTAAACTTTTATTTGATAAGAAAAGATGCGCATAAACTACGAAGTGCACATAACAAATTACAGTATGTACATTAAAAAAAAGTTTGTTAGAGATGACGATGAAAATGTGTGTAAATGGACAAACCATCTGACTGAGCACACAGTAGAACATCTTAAATGTTGTTTTAGTCATTCTAAAATGCCTTAACTGTTTCAGTATTAGTGTATATTATTAATTACCTCCGAGCGTCTGGAGCGTGTCAAGATCTCCGCGTTTGGCTTCAAACGCCCCCACGTGTTCATTGTGTCTTCTGAGGCGCAAGTATTAAATAAAAAATCATTAACGCAGCTTGTTCTACCACAGTAAATTCTGTTTTTACTGTTGATATTTGCCGCAAGTTAATCAGGAAGTGACGATTGTGTTCTCTTTGACTCGTTGGATAAAAACGCTGCTTTATTCGCATCTTTTAGGCATTATTCCAGTTTTGCACAATTTTATGTAAGCCTGTATTTTGATGGAAACACAGCTATTGCCTACATTTTTGTCACACACAGAACAAAGTCACGTACAAGGCTTGTCCTTTTTTCCATTAATATTTAGCTTAACCTTCGACATGTACTGTTTTAGATTAATGGGTTTATTATTTTGTCTTATTTTTAGCACTGCTTAGGTTCTTAATGTTATATCAACCTCTATCACTTGATCAATAAAAAGACACACAAGTGCACTGTTAAATCTATTAAAACTGATAAACGTGTATAAAAGTTTAGAAAAAAGTATAAACGTCACACATTATATTACTTATTTTATTATACTTAAATGTTTAAATAATTTAAACAAAAAATTACGCATTAACTTGAGCAGCTGTTTTCCCATGCTAACTGTCTCTGTTTCACTGATGGTTGCTTCTTTTTAAGTATATACACTCATATTTGATAAAACTTTGCATGAGCAGATCAAGTTCAGCTGGGGAAAGAAATGGTGATCTCTTTTTTTAAGATGTTGCCATGGTCACTCATAATATCTGCGCTCCATTGATAATGCCTTTTTATAGTCACGGTGTGCGCGCTTAACTCTGAGTTGGTCTACTCAAAGTTGATTGACCCAACTCAGATCAGCTATTCTGAAAGCGAAAACTCCGAGTTTTTAATCTCTCGGTAAATCAACTCAGAGTTCAAGTTTAAACTCAGAGTTGTTTGAACCTCCTTACTGAAACAGGCCCCAGGTCTCAGGACAGCACTTAAATCAGGTTTACACTTACTCTGGGGTCACTGTCACTGTGGTAAGCTTGGTTTCTGGAGATGGTGTTGTTAGACTGAAATTGTGAGGCTGTGGGAGGGATTCAACACTTCTCTCAGACACACAGCTGGACCCCAAAGATGCAGCTTCATCTGTCTGAACATCATCCCTCTTTCTCTTCGAATCGAGGCTCATTTTACAGGCAATGCTATAAAAATGGGCAAACATGTATGATAGAATTGACTTTAGAAATACAAAAGGAAAAATAAACTTCTTTATAAACATTTTTCCTTAAAAAATAGAATAAAGAAACTCAAACAGCTCTGGAAAAAGTGAAGGGGAAAATAAATTATGTGAACTATCCCTTTAATGCTAAAAGCTGTCATTTCCTCTTATATAATCCCCACACAGGCCTGTTGACCGGATGCCACCCAGATGCTTGTTCTTACAATTACATAGACGTTCACAATGTTATGCAGACACTTTGGCCAAGAACAGATGTTTTGTTACTGTTCCCGACTGCAAAAGCCAAGCTAAAATTGACCCACAACATTCACAGTTAAGTAGTGAATAGAGCATCTTAAAATGTGTTTATGGTAAGAGAATGCACATTATTTACCATTGCTTGAATAATACAGAAATGTGTTTTTTACATTTACGTGGTTGTTTCTGTCCTTCAATATATGTTGCATTTGTGTATGTGTTTGGTCAAACTAACAACACTAAGATATCAAAATGAACCTGAATTACTTCACTTGGAAAACGTTGAGGTAAAGTTTTATATTAGCACATTCGTTTAGTGACAACTGTGACACACTCCATCCCTATTACTTACCATGGTACTTTGAATATTACTAAAATCACATGTAAACATGATTCAAAACAACATTATCACTATTTAAATGACTGAACAATGTTTTAGCCTACTGTAATAGTCGTTGGCTACTAATATGATTCCAATATCAAGAATACTTTTCTGAAACTATATAATTTAAGTTTTATATCCACACATTTAGACATTAGCAGCCAATCAAAGACTATCAAAGTAGAACATATTGTTCACAAATAAGTCATAGCCTATTTAATTTACATGTGATTTCAGACCGAATATTCAAAATACAATGGTAAACAATAAAGGGAGTTTGTCACTGAACAAACGTGGGGACATAAAACCAATTTAACCTCAACAACTATATTATTAAGGAGAAACTCCGAATGAACAAACATAAAATCAATTTTACCTTAAGTTGGAAGTTTCACGTTGTGACGACAAATTTACTGTAACGTTATAGCTTCATTAACTCCAATTATCTAACTAAATAGAATACTGTAACATGTTTAACGTTAGAGAACATTCGCGATACAACAGACACCAAATAATGCTAGATGCACGGTCTGTAAATGCAGTCACAAACAACTGCGTCACGTTTGTCGTTGTGTGTCATCTCCTTAAACTGACACAAACTGCAAAAAGTGGCATTCATAAAATATACTCACCACTCTGTGAAAAGTAAATAATCCAGTTGTAAGTCAATTTTAACGTTATTAGTAACTTACTCGAATCGCTCGATGTGGTTCGTTTCACTTCCGTTAGTAACTGAAGTCACTCCATAGCTCCAAAATAGCGGTTGCTTCTCAATATCCTTCCTAACCTACGAGGAGTTCAGTCATTTTGGAGAACATCTCAAATTAGTATTTTCTTAAAAACACCACAAGAATCGAGGATATTATTGAGATATCCAGCTGCAGACTAGATTCGACCACTATCCAGACTTCAAATGGGAGGGACTTGGTTTACAGCTGCAGCTAATGAGAACGTGCACATGCAACTTATTTTTTTGATGCTGTATAACAAATTTATTTCACACACTGTTTTTTTTTCATTATTGTAAGGGGTAACTTAGGGTTTAGAGTTAGGTTGGGAGAGACGTTTTGCTTTTCAAAAAAAAAAAGAGAAAAAGTTCTCTGGAAGAAATGCTGTTCTTGAGTTTTTGTCTTGTTTCTAATCCAAATATCAAACAATTCCTAAATCAAGAAGCATTTACTAGACAAGTGGAAAAGTATTGTCTTGTTTTTAGAAATAATATGTAAAAATAAAGTTATTTCTTTCTTAAAATAAACTAAATAATTGGACACAAGCAATCTTGGTTTTGCTTTGATTTTTATTAGATTTTTTATTTTTTTTTATTTCCCCATAGATTTATTACTACTGCTTTTTTAAAATTATTTTTTTATGTTAAGCCTCCCTTGGACAGGTGTTGAGAATTAGAACATTTGCTAAAAAGCTTAAACAAATGTTATGGAGTCAGATCAGTTTCCAAAATAATACATATACAAAATACAATTCATAGATTTGGGGGTTGTGGGGTTGGTTGGGTCATGTAGCTCGCAGGGTTAGGTGTGTGGGTGTATGTGGTCAAAAGACAAAAAAATGAAAAGCGGGGCTAATAATTCTGAATTCAACTGTATAAGTTCAAGCTCTATTTAATATATAAATTCAGTTTATTTATTTTTTAATAAGTTCTTAACCAAATTAATTATAAATTTTAAAGTGTGACAGGTGTACAATTCAGCATACAACTAATTAATTTAATTGACAAATGTACAATTTTATATATATATATATATATATATATATATATATATATATATATATATATATATATATATATATATATATACAAAAATGATTTTAGACAATGTTGGACTGCCATCATTTATCATTTATTTCATTTTGAAATAAAAGCTGTATATTGAAAAAAAAAAAAGTTCTTCTTGTCTACGTTTGTCCTCTTACAGATCTTGTGTGTTAAGTTAATTTTTAACAAGATTTTTTTTACTCAATTTCACAAGGCTAAAAGTAACCGTAGTTGAAGAATTTTTTATTTTATTAAATTTTTTTATTGTATTTGCTGAACATTTCCAGTACAATCCATAACATCTCTTACAATATTACACATTTTAGCATAACATGTGTAAATAAAGTAACAAAAGAAAAAAGGAGAGGGAGAAAAAATAAAACAAATAAAGAACAAGAGCGGGTATACATAACATTCACCATAGAGAAGAGGAGTTTAGCTTTGTAAGTATATTCACAGTTCTGGTCGCTTTACGACTTGAAAGTCCTTTAAGAGTTTCGAAATACATTTTTAAATCAGCCTTGAAATGGAAGATGTTAGGCTTCCTCCCCGACCATTTACACTTCTTACCTAATATCAACAGATTGAACATAAACAGGAGATTCTTATCTATATCTTTTTATCTATATAAAATATGACATCTCTTTTCTTAATAATAATTCTATGACCACTCAGTAGCCTATATTAAATAGACATTTAACATCAAACCAGAAATATTTAGCATACTTACAATCAAAAAACAAACGCATAACAGTCTCAACATCCATTCCGTAAAAAACACACGATTCAACTTTATACCTCTTGAGAATATTCTCAAATCCCTGCTGAAAAATCCAGCTTAAACCCACCTAGGATGGTTTGCTGGTTTTAGCTGGTCGACCAGGCTTGTTTTAGAGTGGTTTTGGCCTCTTCCAGGCTGGTTTCCAACTATTTCCAGTCTGGTCTTAGCTGGTCAGGCTGGAAAGTGACCAGATAAAACCATCTAAAACCAGCTTGACCATCCTGGTTTAAGCTGGACATTGCTGGTTTTGGCTGGGCTCCCAGCCTGGCTGGTCAAGTTGGTTATAGCTGGTCATGACCAAGCCTGTCCAGCTAAAATCAGGCTGGAAACCAGCCTGGAAGTGGCCAAAACCCCTCTTAAACCAGCCTGGTCGACCAGCTAAAACCAGCCAATCATCCTAGGCTGGTTTAAGCTGGATTTTTCAGCAAACTAGTTAGTTGGAAATATTTTATGTATACTTTTAAAATAGATTTCACTGACTTCATTAGTGACACAATATTTGTTGTTATAAGTCCAGATCAAGTTCCAATTGATATTCTCAAATTGGTTATTCCAAAATTGATGGTGAGATGAACGTAAATTACTGCACTAACTAGATTTCTGTCCTAAATGTATTACTATATTAACCTAAACGTTATTTTATTCAGAGACTTAAAATAATGAAGGTCTTAATCCATCTGTCTCTGAGCAAACATTATTCGTCGTACACAAAGCCGTTTAGCACAAACTGGATTGGATTAGCGGTCAACATCGGCGCGCTGGTTCTTGATTGACGTGGCAACAGTAACTAAGGAAGGCGGGGCTAATCTTGTTGTTGTTGCTCTTGGAAACAACCAGCAATGGCTGCTCGCTGAAGTCATTCATGGATCCGCTACAGCATACATGACTGGACTTCTTCGCAACATTTACTGGATATACGGTACGTTAACTTCATAATAACATCACAGTAAAGGGTAGAAGATGTCAAATGGAATAGATTTGCTGAACATAAGAGCGAGACTAACAACAAACTGCGCGTTAGCGCAGACATACACTCTGATTTGTTTGCGTTGTTTCCAGCTAGCTAGCGTGTTAAATTGAGCAAAGCTGCAACATCAACAATCACTAACAGAAGCATACACATTTATATATCTATTAACAATCATAATCGAATTAACAATAAAAAGAATTCGGGGTTTGTTTATTAGCTTCGGCTAACATTGTAGACATTTGTGAAGGTTTTTAAAGGTGTTTCTGTGTTGGGGGTTAACGTTAAGTGAAATATTACATAATCTGATTAACCGCAGTAAGAGTAAATAAAGACCTTCATGTTATTGAGGTAAAATATTCTCAAATTCGTTTATTGAACGGTCCTTATACAGGCTCATAGCCAGGAGGAGTTCGGGTGGTTCGAAAGACCCACCCCCAACTGACAAAGGTCCAGAAATTTGTCCTACTTTGACTGCTATTCCATCATAAAGTATGAAAATAAACGGTCGAAGAAGGCTTTAAGACCAAGTGGAATCCTCTGTTGGCTGTTGTTACTTCAGATAACCAGTTTTGGCCAATGCAAACAATCATTTTTCATGAGTCCAACTTGTGTGCAAGAAAACATACAATCTGAGAAAAGTTAAGTCATCTTTCACTACTGACCTACTGTATTGCTGTTTAATAGAGAAAACAGTTTACAAGTAACTTGTATTCTAATTCTAAACCTTGGACTTTATTCACGAAAAAAAAAGATCAATAAAAAGGTGTGAAGCACCAACGGCGGCCCATATCATAGTTAATTTCATATCTAATCAGGGTATTGTTATCCATGATTTTTCATTCATTTATTTTCTTTTCGGCTTAGTCCCTTTATTAATCTGGAGTCACCACAGCGGAATGAACCGCCAACTTATCCAGCATGTTTTACTTCCAGCTGCAACCCATCACTGAGAAACATCCATACACACTTATTCACTATGGACAATTTAGCTTACCCAATTCACCCTAAAGCACATGTGTTTGGACTTGGGGAAACTGGAGCACCCGGAGGAAACCCATGCCAACACAGGGAGAACATACAAACTCCTCACAGAAATGCCAACTGACCCAACCGGGGCTCGAAGCAGCGACCTACTTGCTGTGAGACGATTGTGCTACCCACTGCGCCACGGTGCTGCCCCCATGATTTGTCAATGTAACATTTTACAAAAAATTGTGTAGCTTTACATTATTATTGTTTATTTATTTGTTTATTTTTTATTCAAATGACCAAATTCTAACTGAGGGATGTTGAATGTGCTGGCCAGATTGTTATGATGAACATAGCTACAGTTTTTTAATAGTAATAATAATAATAATAATAAAAAAAACAAATCCTATTTTTTAAAATGATAAATCATGTAATAAATTAGTTTTTTATAGTATGTTTTTTTCAAAATCTTTAAGGAAATGTTTTGGTGCATCAAACAGTTTGCTTCTGATGACCATCTGACAAGCTATTTAAACAAAAAATTGCTTAAAGGGCACCTATGGTAAAAAATCTACTTTTCAAGCTGATTGGACAGATCTGTGTATTGGTATAGTGTATAGACCGTCATACTGGGGTGATATGAACACACCCAGTCCTTTTTTTTTCAATTTAACTACAAAAAAAAGGGTCGGCCAATTGGAGCTGTTTTCAAATCGATCGCACCATTATGTAGGTGTGCGATCCCCCCGCCCCACCTAATTGATTGACAGCTGCGCGCATTAACATGTTCAGGTAGCCGCGTGTGTATATGTCAACAAGACCAGACAGACATACGCAAAGCAACCGGGAATAAAAGGTCTGTTCTGTTCGCTAGGATCAGCAATCATCATCAAATGTGATGAAGAGTAAGTTTCACATGTTTAAAGTGTTTTAAAACAGAGTATGTGTGTAATTAATTACAGCGTTTTACTTCAGCTTTACTTCATCAGCACAGCCGCGTGTCTGTCGTAAGTCTGTCTGTTGTCTGACGCAGCTGAGGGAGGAGACATGTAGAAACAGTAGGCGGGGAAAAACTCGGCTTAAAGGCGCAGTACGACAAAACCACCCCTTGCTGGAAATCAGTATAAAACAGCATCTTGTAAAAGGTATAATGAAAAATCTGATGGGTATTTTGATCTGAAACTTTATATACACATTCTAGAGACGCAAAAGACTTATATTAAATCTGAAAAAAGGGGTAACCTAGGTGCCCTTTAAAATATCAATAAGATGCAGTATTTAAACCATAATTAAATAAAAAATGAGATGAATAACTGCAAAAAAGGTCCACTTTTTGAGAAAAAAGAACCCCTTTTTCATCAGGCAGGCTACAGGACTGTTTTATTGTTTACCATGCGAATTTAAATATCGGGGGTGAAAGCTCATTTAAATTACTCCAAAACAACATTAGCACTATTTAATTGACAGTAAACAATGTTGTACTTAGTCATTGGCTGATAACAGGATTTCACTGCTTACAATTTGCAAACAATACTTTTCTAAAATTACAATATTAAGTAGATAATCTTAATGTGAATATAAAACCAATTTGACTTCAATCTTAATGTTCGAGGTAGCGTTGGAGTTAGAATCACTAATGTTAGTTTATATAATCTATTTTAATGGTTGATCTTTTCTGTTTTAAGGACTGATGTTTCCAGAATGAATGTTTATATTTCATCAGAATGCCAGCAGGTGAGTAAAGATTCTTAATACTTGATGTGTAACAACTCTTTGTCTGTCACTGGTGATCATAGATATTCTAACATGCAGATTTGGTTAAATCTCCGTTTGACAGGTCAAAGTGATGTGAGAGCTAAGACGAAAGCTCGCTTTGACGAGGTTTTGAAGAGATACACAAACCCTCCATCTGAGAAAAAGAAAGCCAAACAGATCTCTGACCAGTCTCAGGAAATTATCGTGGTTAGTAATAATTCATTCATTCATGTATTTATTTATTTATTTTTGGCTTAGTCCCTTTTTTAATCTGGGGTCGCCACAGCGGAATGAACCACCATTTTATCCAGCAGATGTTTTACGCAGTGGACGCCCGTCCCATCACTGGGAAACATCCATACAAGCTGATTTACACACATACACTTCGGACAATTTAGCTTACCCCAGTGGTTCTCAAACTTTTTTCATCAAGTACCACCTCAGGAAAAAAAATTGTCTCTCCAAGTACCACCAAAATGAGCAGTATTGAAATACAGTAGCGTAGTAGGCCCAGTAAAGCCGCTACAACTCTGCAAAGTAAACAAAAAAAAAACGTGGCAGATTACCTCAGAAATCTAGGCTATTTGTCATATTGGCATATTATATACATAATTTTTGATAAATTTTGAAATGTGTGTAGCATGTACATGACATATTTAATTCCTCCGCGTACCACTAGAAGGAAGCCTGCGTACCACTAGTGGTACACGTACCACAGTTTGAGAACCACTGGCTTACCCAATTCACCTGTAGCACATGCAAACACGGGGAGAGCATACAAACTCCACACAGAAATGCCAACTTCTTGCTGTGAGGTGATTGTGCTACCCTCTGCTCCACCGTGCTGCCCGTTTAGTATTGAGGAAGGTAAAGCTGGTTTTATGTTTGCACATATTGACTTTCTCCTTAATAATATAATTTCAGAAAAGTTTTTTTTTTTTTTGCTTTTTACATAGTGAAATCATATTAGCAGCCAATGACTAGCAAAGTACAAGTGTTTACTGTCAATTAAATAGTGCTAATGTTGTTTTTAAGTCTTACATACTTGCATGAGATCTCAGACTCAATATTCAACGTACCATGGTAAACAATAAAGGGAGCATGCCACAAGTTGTCACTGAACAAATGTGCAAATATAAAATAAACTTTACCTCAGAAATTTAGTTTTGAAGCCATATTTGATTCAGATGAAGTCATACTTGATTCACTTTCAGAGCGAATGTTCAAAGTAACATGGTAAACAATATAGAGACCATGTTACAAGTTGTCACTAAGTAAACAAATGTTCGAATATAAAGCCAAATTTACCTCAGTGTAATAATATTTGCAAATGTCAACCTTGCCATCAAACAAGCACCAAATTAGCAAAACCCTTTTATAAGTTGTATGTGTTGACTTGCATTTTATTTCATTGACCAAATTCACACAAGTGCCAGCTTCACAGATGTCACATCCGTAATGAAGCATATTCGTTAAGGAAAATTCAAAGTGTGATAGGAGATAATTCCCATCCTCTGAAGCCTTTTTTTGTACTGTTGCCCCTTGGATGAAGGTTTAGAAGCATTAATGCTCTTCTAACAGATAGAAATTCACCTTTGTTCCTGAGGCAATAAGGCTTATTAACCTTACATTTTAGCAAGTGTTAAATTTAATGTACGAGTCCTTCCTGTTTTTTTTAGTACCATTTATGAAATTATGCTGTATTGTGTTTTTTAATGTTGTTTGTAAGTGATTTGTCTCTTTATGTGTTTGTTATATCATGATGCTACTGCCCTAATTTAATTGCCCCTGGTGGGATTAATAAAGTTGTTAGACCTAAACTTATTCTACATAAATGCAAAAAAAAAAAAAAACATTCTTATTACACACACACACACACACACACACACACATATATGTGTGTGTGTGTGTGTGTGTGTGTGTGTGTGTGTGTATATATATATATATATATATATATATATATATATATATATATATATATATATATATATATATATATATATATATATATATGAGCAATATCGCACTGCTAAGAGTGTGATATTGCGTTTATACAACAGTTTTACGATATAATTGTGTATATAAAAACAAAATCAAACATGGAGAGTCTTAAAAACCCTTTTATATGAGGAACTACTTTCTTCCGGATTCAAATCATAAGCTGACAGTTAAACAGTTGAGTGTGCATCTTTTAAACTTTAGATCTGTAGTGTCTGCTTTTTGCTGGCTGTATGTGGGCGGAGTAATACACAAAGGGTAAAGAGGCTGAAGGAGTTCTGATATTGCAGAATATCGCACGGCTATCAGCCAATCAGATCTGAGAACCAGACAGAACTGTTGTATATATATATATATATATATATATATATATATATATATATATATATATATATATATATATATATATGAATATAAACTGAGGATATTATATGTCAAAATAATCTGTAAATGTTTTATATTTTAATTGAGGTAAATAAACATTCATTATGAATGTGAATCAAAAAGTACACAAGTTTGTAGTTATAATAATATGTAGAAATTCTGTGAATTAAATGTACATCTATATTTTTTGTTCCACAAAGAGGCGACTCTTATCTCTTTAATAAGTATTATTTATTTTTGGTTGTGCAGTTTAATTTACAGAATTTCTACAGATTATTTTGTAAACTGTAAACTCGCATACTTTTTGATTCACATCCATAATCAATATTTTTTTTACCACTTAATAAAAATAATAATTCTTTACACATATATAGCGCTTTTCTAGGCACTTAAAGCGCTTTACATAATGGGGGGAATCTCCTCATCCACCACTAGTTGGCAGCGTCCACCTAAATGACGCAACGGCAGCCATATTGCGCACCACACACCAGCTGATTGATGGAGAGGAGACAGAGTGATGAAGCCAATTATGGTTATGGTTAGGAGGCCGTGATGGACAGAGGCCAGTGGCCAAATTTGGCCAGGATGTCGGGGTTACTCTTTTTTTCGATGAACATCCTAGGATTTTTAACTACAGAGAGTCAGGACCTCGGTTTAACATCTCATCTGCTCACTGAGCAGTGTAGAGTCCCCTTCACTATACTGGGGCGTTTGGACCCACACAGACCGCAGGTTGAGCGCCCCCTGCTGGCTTCATTAACACTACTTCCAGCAGCAACCTAGCTTTACCATGTAGTCTCCCATCCAAGTACTGACCAGGCGCAGCCCTGCTTAGCTTCAGTGGGCGACCATGTGGGAGTTGCAGAGAGCTAACTGCCGGCTATAAATATAAAATATATAACATTAACAGATTTTTTTTACAGACATCTCAGTTTTATAATATACTCATTTTTTTATTTTTTATGTTTCAGAATGTAAACATATACATCCTCAGCAAATTTAGTTTCAAGTTTTTCATGCAAATATCACATCCACAATGCTGGAATTGCTCATGTAATCTTTATTTGAACCAGAAAAATGTTGCTCATTGAAAAATAATCACTGTAAATATTAACTTAATCGCGTTTTCTTTCAGCTTCAGACCTTAAAGAAGAACCTAGATTTGAGTAAAGACACTGAAGATGATGAAGCCATCCTACATAACACATACGATCCGGCTCAGGGCAGCCCTAGATACACCAAAAACAGGCGCAGGGAGAGGGAAGTATCAGAAAAGACTAACTTAAACAATGCTGTGAGTGAGGAGGAGTCCACATTGACCAGCGGGAAGAGGAAAAGCAAGAGGAAGCTCCCACAACCACCACCCAGTGTTCAAGACGCAGATGACAATGACAGAAGGACTGATGCAGAAACTGATGGAAAACCTATTAGGAGGATAAAAAAAGGGAAAAACAAAGCTGCTAATGACTCGAGTCAACAGAAAGAGCAGACGGAGACAGAAGATGATTATTTACGAGCGTACCAACATCAGATCTCACAGGAAGAAGAGACGGCGGGAAAGAAATCGACACGAAAGAAAGCCGCAGAGAAGCTTGAGGAGAAGCAGCTGCTAAACAATGAGCTGGAGAAGAAAAAGAAGAAGGCGAAATCAAGCAAACATGATGCTGAAAGAAGGTAATACAATTATTTTAAAAAAAAGTAATATGTTGTTCTTATTATTTAAGATTGAACATTTGCAGGGCTGAAGTAAATAATGTTGTTTACATTACGTGATTATCCCTATGTAATAAAGGTAACACTTTAATTTAAGTACCAATTCCAGTTAATTATTCATTTTCCTTCGGCATAGCCCTTTATTTATCAGGGGTCGCCACAGCGGAATGAACCAGCAACTATTCCAGCATATGTTTTACGCAGTGGATGCTCTTCCAACCCCGTACTGGGAAACACCCATACACTCAGGCCAATTTAGTTTATTCAATTCACGGTTAGAAAATGCAAACTACACACAGAAATGCCAGCCGGGACTCAAACCAGCGACCTTCCTGCCGTGAGGTGACAGTGCTAACCACTGAGCCACGGTGCCGCCCTCCAGTTATTTACTAGTGGTGAAATACCTGCCTTGTAATAAGATATTAGCTGTTTATCGGTACTTAAAAAGTACATATTCTGTATGATCGCTAATTTTACCTAATACTTAAACCCAACTACTATCTTAATTACTATTAACAAGCAGCTAATCAGTAGTTTATTGAACTATCGGTTGTAATTATTGGTTTGTTATTAGCAAGAACTGTACCTTAAAATACAGTCTGACCGTAATAATTTGAAAAGTCATGCTGAAAGTGAGAGTATCAAATACATCAGTCTTTTGAGGAATGCTTATTTGTTCATCTCATACTTATCACAGCTTTGCATTGCAGTTGATATTTTAAAAATACAGCTTTAGTCATAAAACTAAGCAATTAAATACAATTTAGAGATTAGTAATGTAGTGTGACAACTAATATATGCATCTTTTATAAGTAGCCAATCCAGTGTTGCCAGATTGGGCGGTTTTCGTGTTTTTCAGATGATTGGGCAGGTTTTTTTGCATTTCGGCTGGTTTTGAACAGTTTTTGGGCTGGAATTAATCAGCTACATCTGCCAACACTGAGCCTATCGTCTTTCAGTAAAAATAAAAAATAAAAAATGTCATTAAAAATAAATTGAGCTGTCTAAATTTTTATATTTTTTGTCATTTAAAAATTAAAGGAATAATTCACCCAAAAATTCCCTCAAAAAAAGAATCAGTCATCATTTACTCAGCCTTTACCTGTTTCAAAGCCTTATAAGTTTTTTCTTCTGTTAAAAACATTTTTTTTTTTAAGTGGGAAACTAAACCATTTAGAATGGTTAAAAAAACCCATTAGTATTTATTTTTCCTATTAATGAAGTCAATGGTTGCAGGTTTCCAGCATTCTTTAAAATATCTTCTTTTGTGTTTAATTGAAGAACATAAAGGTTTGGAACCACTTGGAGGTGAGTAAGTAGAGATTAAATTAAATTTTTGGGGTGAACTGTACTTTTTTTTTTTTTTAACAAAATACAGGTGTTTTTTTCTACCTTTAAGTTTGAGAGCCACACAATTTTTGCTTTTTGCAATTTTGTTTAGTGATACAAGAGCTGAATATATCACACATTTTACTTTTCACAAACTTTAAGTGGCCTTAAAGCATTGGATGAAATAAAGAGATCACAGTTTTTAGTTTTCATGATTTTCTTTCTTTTTCTTTCTTAATTTGGCTTGTCTCTTTCTCTGCAGTCAGGCTGAAGTGTCAGCAGAAAACCAGACAGAAATCATCCAGGATGATGTAGAGGAGTTCAAGGAGGATACAGTCAAACCCAAAGTGAAGAAGAAAAAGAAACGAAAAGAAGGTATAATCAGCTGTCTACATTGATATCATCACCATGATAGATTTACTGTGCCGATTCACAGTGTTGCATTCTACATAGGGTGGGGTGATATGGCAAAAATGCAGTCTCGATAATTATTTTCCATATTGAATGATAACGATATATATTTTGATATCAGTTGTTAATGCTTCCAGATTTAAATTCCAGATGACAGAAGCCACAAAAATTAGAGGGTCCATTAAATGGCATAACATTTTCGGTAAATAAACTTTTGGGGGCCGAATATTCAGTACATCTCTAATATCAACACACTTTTAGGTTCCCATTGTTGCACATTTCTGCAGTGTGATTGGCTCTTAGATCGATATAGAGTAAAAAAGTCCAGAGCTTATCATTGTTACTGACTTAAATTTTAACGCAATTCCTTATGATATCGTTTATCAGCCGGGTAATAATTCTATGTTGCATAGTTCCACAATATTTCAAATAATTGTCTGTTTTAGCCGCATGATCCAGTTTTCCTGTATATTTGTTTAATAACCATCAACATAAAATATAAAATTCAACCATCAACATATAAAATTAATAAAGTATGTACAGTAGGGCTGCAACAACGAATCGATTAAATCAATAAAAATTGATTACTAAAAGCGCTGGCAACGAATTTCATTATCGATTCATTGTGTCGCGCGACACGGAGATGTTTAATTTAAAAAAAAAAAAACACTTTAGCTCAGCTTTGCGCGGAGCGGAGTGAACACGGCCTCTCTCCGTCTCTCGTGCACTGATACAGAGTTCAGCGCCTCAAAGACAGGGATGATGTGGAAGAATCACTACAGAAACCTACTTTTATTAAAGTTGCTGGTGCTGGTGTTTCTGTCTGCCACTGAGCCAGAGAAAGACAGCAGGGGGTTATGTTGGTTTTGTTTTCAGAATTCTTAAATTAAATACTTTTCTTTCTTAGTAATTTTGTCTCGTTTCCAGTTCAAATATCTAAAAAAGTCTTACATTAAGACCAGAAAAGAAAAATGGCATGAGAAAATGAAGTGATGCTGAAAACTTCTGTTTGCGATTATATCTTATTAAGATATTTTTTTTCACCCGTTGGCAAATAATTGTGCTTGTTTTAAGCTAACAATCACTTAATTTTGAGGTGAAGTGATTTCTTATGCTATTTCATGTGTCTAGTATGTATCTTAATTTAAAAACATTTAGATATTTGGATTGAAAACAGGACAAAGCTAGTTTTCAAAAAAGCTCATCCCTGAGCTGTTATAATAATAGTAATAATAATAATAATAAAATATTAATATTAATATTATTAAAACAGCTCAGGGATGAGCTTTTTTGAATTAAGGGTTGGAAATGAATGCTTGTCTTGTTTTTTGATCCGATTAATCGAAAAAATTATTGATAGATTACTCGTTATTAAAATAATTGTTAATTGCAGACCTAATGTACAGTTGAAGTCAAAATGATTAGCCCTCTTGTCAAATGTTTTTTCTTCTTCAAATATTTTCCAAATGATGTTTAACAGAGCAAGGAATGTTTCACAGTATTTCCTATAATATTTTTTCTTCTAGAGAAAGTTTTACTTGTTTTATTTTGGCTAGAATAAAAACAGTTTTAATGTTTTATGGTCAATATTATTAGCAATTATTATTTCAATTGTCTACTGAACAAACCATTAATATATAATAATTTGCCTAATTACCCTAAACTGCCTAATTACCGAGACCCGGAAGGGACGTAATGTATATTTTTGTAAGTTTTTGCGTTCCCTTGCAAAGATGTTTTGCGTTCCCTCAAAAAACTTGTTCTACAAACACTTCTTGTTCGCTTTATACATGTCAAGCCTCCCATTTTTGCCAGGATTCTCCCGTATTTTACCATTCTGTCCCACTATTATCCTATCATTAAGTATTTTCCCAATTTTCTCCCATATTTTTACTCTTGAAAGCACGCTGAAATTAATAAAAAAAGGTCTGCATTCACTTTCTGTCCATTAAAGCTGTGCGTCGATCATTGCTCTTCATTTACAACCTCTGAATCAGCGAATGCATGTATATGTGCCTACTGACAGATGCAGCTCCGTATGATAAACGGATAAACGCAGAGGGAACGCAAAAACTTAAAAAATATATTTTTCTATCATTCCATTTTTTTCATGTCTCCATAGCTAATTAACCTAGTCAAGCCTTTAAATTGCATTTTAAGCTAAACATTAGTATCTTGAAAAAGAGCTAGTAAAGTATTATTTACTGTCATTATGCAAAGATAAGATAAATCGATTATTAGAAATGAGTTATTAAAACTGTTATGTTTAGAAATGTGTTGAAAAATCTTTCTGTTAAACAGGAACTTTGGAAAAAATATACAGGGAGCTAATAATTCTGGAGGGCTAATAATTCTGACTATAACTGTATAAGTGTATGTATATCGTCATCTTGGAATTATAAGGTTCTATCTGCGTTCTGAATGATTTTGAGATATTGAGCTTCAAAGTCTTTGCATTCCAAAGCAAACAGTCTGTGTGTAACATTTGTTTTTTGTTTTTTATAAAAAGTCTTAAAATGTAAACAACTTATAAAAACATCCCAAATTATAAATAGGTTGTCATTTAATAAGAATATGTCAATAACTTAATTTTAACAAAAATGTCAGATAGAACCTTATAATTCTAAGATGACGATATGCTTCCTTTATGCACTTTTTTGCACATGTGATTTGTGGGTTTGAATGCGATGGTTGATTCTGGTAGTGCCTGTTGAGGAGGAGCAGACAGAAGAAAAACCAGCCTTTGATGACAGTTTGGTCCTGGGAGTTTATATCCACAGAACAGACAAGCTGAAGACCGACCTGATGGTGTCTCACCCCATGGTCAAAGTTCATGTGGTTGATGAGGTCACTGGACAGTATGTCAAGAAGGAGGACAGGTTTGGACTTTTCTTTCTTCGTTTTTTCACTAAAACCAAAACCTGCTAGAAGGCATTTGGATCTTAGGTTTCAAACCCGTATCGTGTTTCCTTCTGCTTACAGCCATCGTCATGTTTCATCCTTCTATGAGCAAGAAAACATTGAGCACATCCTGCCCATTATAACTCAACCATTTGACTTCAAGAAACACAAAACAACAGTTCCAGAGTGGGAGGAACAGATCATCTTCAATGAGCGATTCGGATATTTTCTACAAGATGACGACGAGAGTCCACGTGTGATGCTGCTTTTTGAGGTTTGTTAAAAGTTTAGGATTACATTTGCATTGTCAAAGCAAAGAATTGAATAAGGATCGCAGTTTACATGCTGTTACAGATTCTGGATTTCATCAGTATGGAGGAGGCTCGAACAAACGTCTCAGTTGATCGACATGAAAGAGGTTTCAGAAAGATTGCTTGGGCTTTTTTGAAGGTACCAGACTTTACTGTAGTTCCTGTTATTTTTTTTATATTTAATAATTTCATGCTTGTTTATTTGATTATTAGCTCCATAGCTGTTTTAATTTTAATTTTATGTAGGTTAATTCAACCTCTCCCTATTTAAACACACCTGAATCAACTCATCATAACATAAGAAGAGACTTCAAAACCTGAAGTTAATGGGTCAGATAAGGAAGACATCCAAAATATGTACCAGCACGAGTGGTCTTTATTGAACCTAAAAGAGCACATGTCACTCCACTACTCATCCGTTTGCACTGACTGCCAGTCGCATCAAATTCAAAGCTCTGATGTTTGCTTACAAAGCGATTTCTGGCTGCGCCCCTTCTTATCTGCTCTCACTTCTGCAGATTTATGTGCCCTCCAGAAACTTGTGTTCTGTGAATGAATGTCGCCTCGTGGTTCCATCTCAAAGAGGGAAGAAATCACTTTCCCGAACTCTCGCATTCAATCTGCCCAGTTGGTGGAATGAACTCCCTAACTGCATCAGAACGGCAGAGTCACTCACTGTCTTCAAAAAACAACTTAAAAGTCAACTATTTAGTCTCCACTTTCCTTACTAATCTGCAATTCCCTCTCTGACCTCTCCACTAACTACATAAAAAAAAAATACTACTGTTTTGTTTCTTACACTTTCTTTGCATACCTGAAACTTGCCTACAGCACTTACTTATTGTTGCTTTTATGGTTGTGTAAATTGCTTCCTTGTCCTTATTCGTAAGTCGCTTTGGATAAAAGCATCTGCTAACCCTGCTGAAAAATCCAGCTTAAACCAGCCTAGGCTGGTTGGCTGATTTTAGCCGGTTGACCAGGCTGGTTTTAGAGGGGTTTTGGCCATTTCCAGGCTGGTCTCCAGCTATTTCCAGCCTGGTCTTGGCTGGTCAGGCTGGAAAATGACCAGCCAAATCCAGCTAAAACCAGCTTGACCAGCCTGGTTTAAGCTGGACATAGCTGGTTTTGTCTGGACTCCCAGCTTGGCTAGGGTGGTCAAGCTGGTTTTAGCTGGTCATCTCCTAGCCTGACCAGCTAAGAGCAGGCTGGAAACCAGCCTGGAAGTGGCCAAAACCCCTCTAAAACCAGGCTGGTCAACCAGCTAAAACCAGCCAACCAGCCTAGGCTGGTTTAAGCTGGATTTTTCAGCAGGGAAATGACTAAATGTAAATGTACTGTTGATGTGTCTCTAGGAACAGGGTTGGGAAACACTGGGTTAACTGTATCCTTTTTCAGATGGTCATTGTGTTCTTCAAATGTTTCTTCTAGCTTGTAGGAACCAATGGGGTGTTGAACATTGACACCAAACTGCGTCTGCAGCTTTACTGCCCTCCTCCACGAGCGAAGAAAGTACCACAAACGGTGGAAGTCTTTCAATGGTGGTCAAAGTACCCAAGGAACAAATACACCTCAACTCTCTATGTCACCGTGAAAGGCCTGAAACCACCAGAACATGTAGGTATACATTGTTGTGCTGGATCATCTACTAAATATTAGTATTCAGAATCCATAAGTTAATGCCTAGTCATTTAGCTTCTTTTAAATTTTTGTTGCCATAGAAACATTCTGACAGTTAGAATTAGTTATTTGCCTCATTTAAAAAGAATACCCTACAAGAAGACACTTAAGCAGGTAGCACACCAGAAGCGCCGCTTGGCGCCACGACAGGGTGGCACATGACAGATTAAAGTATCGCACACCAGACGCGCACATTCAAATGATATTTAACATGAAACTAATCAGATGGCGCTCTGTGGTGCGGCTGAAAAATGAACTGCGTCCTGAGTCGTGGGCGGGCGCCGCCGACAGCTGCCGACTTGCGGCGCCGGTGTGTGTATCCTGATAGAAATCTATGTTTAGAATTCTAAAATGCATGGCGCTGCACGGCGCGCCGCCGAGCGGTGCTTCTGGTGTGCGACCTGCGACCTTGCGGGAGTATCCCTCAAATGCATAGACACTCCCAGATGCCCGCAAATGAATAATAATCTCCCGGAAATCGCACGTCTCCTGCCCGGTCTTTAAATACGTTGCACACCCCTCACTCCACTGCATCCCTCCTAGCTCTTCAGGTACGTCATGCGCAACTCACCCCCACCGCTCTTCAGGTACGTCGCATGCAACTCACCCCCACCACTCTTCAAGTATGTCGCGTTGCAACTCTCTATTCGGGTACGTCGCGCGCGCAACTCTCACCGCTCTTCAGGTACATCTCGCGCGCACAAGCCCCCCTACTCAGATACTTTGCTCACTCACTACCTCCCCCCAAATTAACTCTGTACCCCCGTGAATGGACTTTTTCTAACTAGGGATGTCTGACAAAACATTAAGTATGTTTACAAGGACACCAATACTTTTGTTTTAATACGATGAAGGCAATACTCTGATTAAGAGTCTACCATGTAAACAGAGATTTTTGATAACCTTAATCCGACTGAAGTCATAATTGTAGTAAACACAAATCGAATTAAGTCATGTGCAGTATTCCTCTATTTCAGTCGCATTATTTACAGACGTGTAAACATCTTAATCAAAGTACTACCACCATGTAGGACTTTTAGCTGCATTTTAGGCCAGGATACGCCATAAGCGCATGGCTGTTTGATGTAGATGATGATCTAGTAGATCTTACAGGATCTACAAAGTAAATATGCAAAAAAAACAAAACTGTAGTATATATTAGTAGAACATTAGCAAAGAAAGGACTAGACTATTTAAAAATAGTTGCTCAGTGAAGTTGAATCTGATCTGGTTTGTTTCAAAGGTTGACCCCGGTATCCGCTCCATGATGGCTCTGCAGCAGGAGCGCGGCAGCACCTCCTACAGTGAGCTCAATTCTGAGATGACCAATAAAACCAGCACTCAGATACAGGAGAGCAAAGCAGAAACCATGAAGTGGAGCCGTATGCCCGGACAGGTTTTAGTTATTTGCTTTATCAGTGTAAATCGGGGTCAGTTATCTTTTTAATTGGCCTAATAATTTTTGACATTGTTTGTTTAAGGTGTGCCGGATCCCAAATAAGCCAATGCACTCTTTCCGTGGAGGTCAGATGGGCTGTTTTACTCTCTGTTTCTCACATGATGGACGTGCGCTAGCAGCTGCGTGTGCAGATAGAGATGCTTTTCCTATCATAAGTGAGTATAATGTGACTACATGTTGTCTTTTCTCTGTCTTGCATTTTTTAATACTTTATACTTAAATGTTTGTCATAATAACATTTAATATCTGATTAGTTAAAGGGATAGTTCACCCAAAAATTTCAGAGATGCTCTTCTGGAGACATCAGTTGTAACGAGTCTATCAGATCGTCTATCAGATCGGTCTGGCCATTCTCCTCTGGCGTCAACAAAGCATTTACACCCACAGAACTGCTGCTCACTGGATATTTTCTCTTTTTTGGACCATTTTCTGTAAACCCTAGCGATGGTTATGCGTTAAAATCCCAGTAGATCAGCAGTTTCTGATAGTAATGTGACGTTGTGCACCGAGGCTTTGAAGCATGTATCAAAAAAACGATGCATCTTGCAGTGTACTGGAGCTTGATTCGTTTTGCCATCATCACGTGATCAGTGACGTCCGAAGCTTCATTTTCGCCTATACCCACGTGACTGCTTCGAATTTTGATTCAAAGGTTTAAACACCCTAATGTGTTAGTAAAGTGTATAGCGAGAGATTTGGAGTTGATTACATACATTTCTACAGTTTTAAAGTACTGTACCGGTCCCACACACCAGTAATTAAACTATAATACAATAGTAATTTATAGTAAAAAATGTTTTGAACCACACTGAAGTGTATTAGCGTATTGTTTACAATGTTCTTTAAAGGGTCACGAAACACCAAAACACATTTTTTGAGCTGTTGACAGTCGTATATGTGTACCACACTGCTAAAAACACTATTAAGACACCTATATTTCACTAAAAAGTGTAAATTGGTTGTTTTTGCGTTATTTCAAGCAAATTCGTACTTCCTGTTTGAAACGAATTTTTGAAGCTGCGTCACGGTCATGACATAATAGCGTGTATTCCAGCGTGCAGACTGGGCGTCTGTGCCAGAGTGAGTCTTATTACGTCTTACAGTGTGATGCATTAATGCATGAGTAAGGCTTGGTTCAAACCAATCAGCGCGCTCTATTGTGCAACTTCATTAATATTCATTACTGTCACAGTGTAGACGGCAAAGACGCCACGTTGTGTTGGCAAAACAAGCGTGAAGTGTTGCTTTTATAGTTTGCTGCAGTTAAGTTTCGTTTTCATTTTCTCTCTGTGAGAGCGCAGACTCACATGTGGATTAACAGTGTACGCGACGCGCGACAACAACTTACGTGTCTAAGGAGGATTATTATTTACCTGAGAGCTGTTCTCATCTGCAAACGCTGAGATTGTAGTCTTCTCTAAATAAAGACGCGGCTCTAGTTGCTGGTGATTGTCCTGTCTCTACAGATTTGGTAAGTGAGCGACCAGTGCTCTTTGTTTATTCAGTTCGTATTTTATTCGTATCAAACAAACTATTGCACCGAGTGCAATAGTTAGCACTAACAGTTACAACCAAACTATAACCTCGTGTTGGATTTTGTGACCGGAATAACACACACGGCTTTCTGACACTACCTGCCGAGTGCATCTAAGTTTCCGGGAAATGCTGAGTTTTTTTTTCTCTCATTCGCCGTGCAGTATCAAACATTGCATGAAAAATACACGCTTAGAGCTGTTCCTCGAATCAAATATCTCGTTTGTCGGGAGGGACATTAATGAATTCCCTGAATGAAAGAGCCAAACTGCAGTTAAAGTCCACCATTTAATAATTTGGCAAATAATTCGACTACAGATGTCCATGTAAACACAGTCACATTGTCTGCTGTGGGTGTGTGTTTTGACTCTGAAATTCAGCGTGCCCAAATAGACACTCCCACACCAAGCCGCTTTTCTTCCTCCGACACTCCCCCCTAAACAGAGCTGGACACGCCCACTTTTCTGACTTTTTCCAAAGTAGAGGTGTGAAAACACACTGCTGAAACGAGGGGGTTTCATGGCCCTTTAAAGAAAACCCCTGCATATCGTAGTATACTGTTTAATGGAGACCAGCTGGCGAGTGCAGCCTGAATGCATCCCTCTTCTAGCTTCCTCCTTAGAGCATTCGCCTACCATGCAGGAACCGCTGGTTTGATCCCCGCTTGGAATAAGACTAGTTGAAATATGAGAAGTGTAAATGCTTTTGAATACCTGGGATTTTACTACAGTCATCGGTGGTGTAATGTAAAATACCTTATGTGTAAAAAACTACAGTAATTGAGTAATTTGTTTATATTACTGTTATTGTATTACTACATGAATGAGTTGGTCAGTTGTGAACATTTGACATTATTACAAAACAGTGCTTTCCTACACTTTAACCAGCAGAGGTCCTCATCCAGCTCTGATTTAGAAAGCTTCGTGTAACAAACCTTTTTCCGATACATTTGAGTCGAGCGCTTCACTGGTTCAGAAAGCTTCATTTCTCCATCATTAGTTTCAGACCAGCCCATCTGGCACCAACAACCATGCCACGTTCAAAGTCACTTAAATCACCTTTCCTCCCCATTCTAATGCTCAGTTTGAACTGCAGCCGATCAGCTTGATCATGTCTACATGCCTAAATGCATTGAGTTGCTACTATGTGATTGGCTGATTAGAAATTTGCGTTAACGAGCAGTTGGACCGGTGTCAACTAATCATTACAGTTAACAATTGCTCTGAACATACCATATTTACAATAGTTGCACTTCAATTGGCACACTATGGACTTATACACTCAACCATGTAGTGTAGAAATGGGTTTAGTGTCGTTCTAAATAGACACTAATGTTTTTACTAGACAGAAATACAAACCATTTCCCAGACAACGTTTAACAGCTGCCAAATAGTGAAACAAATGATCAAACTACCAAATAGTACCAGTCATGAGTATAACAGCATTCACCATTGGGAATGTAATCACTTACATAGGAGAATTTTGCTTGCACAATCCAAAATAAATAATGAAATCCAACCTTAGTGCCTAATAGCTCCTCCCCTTCTGCAATGTGACCGTTGAGTGCTTGAAGTATTCAACATTTCACACTTCTGTTTAACGGTTGAATAAGTCTTTTATCCAGGTATTTAAAGTGCACTTATTCTTTTAGTGCACTATTTATACCGGTGGTTTTCAACTGGTTTGGCCATGGGACCCACATTTTTACATGGTCATCAAATCTCGACCCAAAATTTTAGGAACTAAAATATAATTTTGGGAATTATAATTAATTTGTATTTATTTGTTAACATATACAAGTAGTGACAGATAAATGATAAGAAAATCCCCAAGATTAACAAATAAACACTATTTTATTATTGTAATTTAACAATATAAAAAATTTAAATTACAGAAAATATTACACAGTAAAAACGACAAATGTTTGGTTTCTAAAAGTGCTCTTGTGAGAGCTCCTCACTACACATGGCACACTGAGCCTTTTTTGTCGTCCATATATGTAAATCCATACTTGACATGTTCGGGGTCGTACTTGCGCTTCGATATATTTGTTGCTATAATTAAATGAAATTTCACATGTCAAACGGTACGGTTGTTCCCACAACAATTGTTTTTTTTTACCACACACTCTGCGACCCACTAAAAATGTTCCCGCGACTTTTGGGTGTGACCCACCAGTTGAGAAACACTGATTTATACTACAAAATAGCTTAGAATTGTGCATAAGTATGCAATTTGTAATGCACCTAATGTTTTTGTTGTGTTGGTCTGTACTTTTAGTATATGAGATTCCATCTGGGAAAGTTCTGTCATCTTTTAATGGCCATCTGAGTGTGGTTTATGATCTCTGCTGGTCCAGAGATGATAAAGGCCTGTTAACTGCATCCTCTGATGGAACAGTGAGGTAAAAACATTTGACAGTTTTAAAAGATCATAATACCACCTCATTATAATATGTACCTCATAATTACATATCAATGTTTTTCCCTTTCAGAGTGTGGAATGTTGAACGTCTGCAGACTCTTGCGCATAAAACTCTTCCGCACCCTTCATTCGTGTACTGTGCCAAGTTCCACCCTCAAGCCCAGAGTCTGGTGGCGACGGGGGGTTACGATGGCGTGCTGCGAGTCTGGAACGTAGATGTACAAGATGTGAATGGTCAACTTTTGCAAGAGTTTGACGGACACAAGACTTTCATCAACACTCTGTGTTTTGACCCTGAAGGTACAGAGGAAATTGGTGGTTTAATAACTGAATGGATGTTAAAGCTGTGATATGAGACTATAGTGATGTGTTGGTCTTTACACAGGGAGCAGAATGTTTTCTGCTGATAATTCCGGACTCATCATTGTGTGGGGAACGAAAGTTATGCCTGGGTCTCGCCGTGGAGCAACCAGTCAGTGGAGCATTGAGAGGGTAACAGTTTTCAATTAATGCATGGAAGTTAAATATTCATTTAAAAGATGAACATTTCCTGACTATTTACTCTCACTCAACTGGTTCAAATGTAAACGTTTATGAGTTTCTATCTTCTGTTGAACACAAAACTAAATATTTTAAAGAATGTTGGAAACCATTGACATTCATACACTGCAAAAATGCTTTTCTTACTTAGATTTTTTGTCTTATTTCTGGTCCAAATATCTAAAAACTCTTTAATCAAGCATATTTTTCTAGACAAGTAAAACATACTGTCCTATTTTAAGATATAATATGCCAAAATTTAAATAATCTGCCAATAAAGTAAGCAAAATAATCTTATGTCAAAAGGAAAAACTAGATTATTTTGCTTGTTTTAAGGAAAAACTCATTTAATATTGGCATATTATTTCTGAAAACAAGACAATATGTTTTGCTTGCCTTGAAAATTCTTCTTGATATAAGAACTTTTAGATATTTGGACTAGAAATAAGACAAAAAATCTAAGAAAAGCATTTTTTGCAGTGTAGTAGAAACAAAAATACTAGAGGTTGATGGCTGTTTTTCTCTCTCATCATAACAGTGTTTAACAGACAGAAGAAACTCAAAGTAGAGATCTGCGCGGGACTAAATTTTGAATCCCGCTCCCGCCCGCATCCGCCAGGTTTTAGCCCGAACCCGACCGCTCCCGCTCCCGCTCCCGCTTATATTAAGCACTTGTTGTCTCGCTGCCCGCCCCGCCCCGTTTTCTATCCGCTGCGCCCGATGCCGCTAAAGAGCGGGGGGAAAACAAAACCGAAAATCACCCAGTTATACAGTCCAGACAGCCTATAACAAGCTGTCTGTATAAACACACACACGCACAGCACCAAGCACACACACAGAAACAAAGCTTTCTCTCTCTCATTCGCGCGCGCGCCCACTAACACACACACATAAGCACCAAGCACACACGCACGCACGCACGCACGCACGCACGCACGCACGCACGCACGCACGCACACACACACACCTCTCATTCGCGCGTGTGCATACATATACACACACACACACACACACACACACACACACACACACACACACACACAGCAACAAACAAGCTAAACACAGCATCGCGCTATTTCATTTACACACATACATACGCGTGCTCACTCGGGAGTCGGGAGCGAATATTGCTAGACAGCCCGCTCCAGTCCCAAATTAAACCCATTACCGACCGCTCCCGTGATATATTCTGAAATTTATACCCGCGCCGTAGAAATCTGGTCGGGTCCTGCGGCGCCCGCAGGACAGCCGCGGGAATGCAGAGCTCTAACTCAAAGCTCAGGTGGAGGATTAGTAAATGATGTCTTATGTGAACTGTCCCTTTAAAAAAAATCAACTGAGGGTTGAAATACACTATATTAATATATTTTAAAACGCTGCGCACCAAGCAATTTTGTGTTCAATAGACGTCTAATAGACATCTAGCTTGGATGTTTTGGCTAAAACAAGGCTAAATTTGGGCTGTCAGTGAAAATAAATAATAAATGTTCAAGAATAGGCCAAAATGAGATCAAATAGACTTATTATACTCACTTGGTGTGTGTAATTATTTATTGAAGTGTATTTGATGACTAGTCTAGTTTTGGCTATTATACTAGATTTTTACTCGCACAGAGCCCAAATATAGCCTTGTTTTAGCAAAGACGCTTTTATTTAGACATCTATTAGACATCTTTTAAACACAAAAGTAGTAATCATTGTTAAAAACCCCACAAGGAAACATTTCTCCACAAATATTTTTCCTTTTTAATCTCCCATTATTTTTTTTGGTTATCTGTTGGAATGGAGAGATCATTTCATGTTTAATTCTCATGATAAACATCTGTTTTTCAATTTAGTTTATCCGGCAAAGAAATGCAGTTTGTTATTATGGGCATCAACCTTCTTGCATAATGTGGATGTCTTAAATATTTACACTACTTCTATTTAAGAAACCTACTAACGATTCAGATTAGAAGTCAAGTGACTTTTAGCAGATATGGACACATCTTTGGCACTGTGTTAATGACCTCCTTTGACTCCTCATTGACTACTGCCTGACATGACTAGATTCCCTGTATTCCCTTTTCTACTTTTTGTGTATCAAAGGCTTTATTTGTATGTTCATGAACATTGAATAAACTGACAAAAGTGCAATGAAAAAAAAAAAACACAAGGAATCACACATTTACTGACTTGGTAAAATGTAACTTTAAGATTACACACTCTCACACTTTTAAATTATCAAATTGACAATTATGGAGAAACCTGTCTTGTTGTTGTAAAATTTTAAATATCAAACAACTATCAAATATGTCTGACATTTAAAAAAAAATGCCTGTACCCATTATACACTGTGAAATCTATCAACTCCAACTGGCTAAAATCTGCATAGACATCTTCAATAAATCAGTTCAAAACTGTGATTTAAAAGTTGTGTATTGTATTCAGCCTAAAAGCAATGTCAATTTATTATCATCTATTTTTTATTTGCAGGAAATTAAAGAGGCAGATCTGAACGGAATATCTATTAACTCATTAGAGGTGCATCCAAATGGACGAAGACTCTTAATTCATGCCAAAGACAGCGTTTTGAGGGTCATGGATTTGAGAATGTACGTTTTGTTTTTGTTTTTAATTAACATGCAGAACTGAACATTATTTAGAAATTATTGAGATTAAAAGCAAGAATCTAAAAAAATCTAATCAAATGAAAATCTTACTTTTTCCCTATTACAGTCTGGCAGTGAAGAAATACATAGGTGCCACAAACTACAGGGATCGAATCAACAGTACGTTCACTCCTTGCGGAAGCTTCATCTTCGCTGGTAGTGAAGATGGACTGGCGTATGTCTGGAACTCTGAGACAGGTACAGTAAGTCTTGTGAGACATTCTGCAAGAAAAATCCAAGTGGAGGGTGAATTTGGAAATGTGTTTGTGCAGGTGACCAGGTTGCCGTGTACTCAGAGCTGTGTTACTCATCTGCACTTCGAGCTGTAGCTTTCCACCCTCATGAGAACATGGTGGCCTTCTGTTGCTTCGGCCAAAACCAGCCCATCCATCTCTATCTGTATGACCGTAAAGGTAAGTCCTCCAAAAAAAAAATCACTGATATCAGTTAAAGGGTTAGTTCAGCCAGAAATGAAAATTCAGTTAATTACTCGTTCTCATATCATTCATCTTCAGAACACAATTTAAGATATTTTAGATGAGATCAGAGAGCTCCCTTATCCTCCATAGACAGTGATGACGTTCAAAGTCCAGAAAAGAATCAAAAAACAGTCCATGTGAAGCTCCAAAATACGTTTGTGTAAAAACAAAAATAGTTTTTATTTATTTGCAAATGTCTTCGGCAATATTATGCTCGCATGTTATGTAGTGTTGCTTTCGTCAGTGAAAACTATGACAAAATATCTTTGTTTCTCCTCAAATTGATTGTGTTCATTTCATTCTGGCATTGTTTTGTGATGCTGTTTTATTTATTATTTTCCTTAATTGTTTCATTTATTTTATTAATTTGGTTGTGTACTTTTAACAGGTTTGGTTGGTCAAACAAATGTTGTAAATTAAAATCAGAGCATCTGGAGTGTATGTGTTATTGAGTCTATAAGGTAACAGTATTATAATATGACGACTTTGTTTAAAATGGGTTTGTCTAAAAGAACAATTTAGGTTTCGTCTTTACTACTATATACTTCTATTATGTTGACTGGATTAAATATAATTGCATTACTAAAAAGAGACTAAAATACCATTTTCATCAACTAAAACTAGACTAAAATGTCACGAGTAGGGCCAGACAGAAACTGCGGACTTTGTTTGCTATTTCTGCGCAGAATATTGTGGAAAATCTGCGGATTTATGCGGAATGATTTTGGGAGTTTTGTAACTAAAAACTTAATATGTTAAATTAAAAAAATAATAAGTTTAGATCCATTTATTTGGTTAACAAAGCAAATCTCTCATATAATATCTCTACCATATACTTGCTAAAAGACAGAAATTATTACTTTACAAACTGTATTGTAAGTAAATCATATTAACGTTTTCATATTAGTCAGTAATATTTCTGAAATTAATTAAAAAGCTAAATAAAATATGAATTTACACACATTTACACAAGTAAATATATAGACTCAATGATGGACTAAAAATCTGTTGAAATCGGAGTTTTCGTTGACTAAAATTAGTTATGGATAATTATGACTAAAATAAGCCTAAAATGTGCCCTAAAAATTGAATAGATTAAAGCCTATGAACGTGACAAAAACAAATAAAAACTAAAACGTCAGCTTCACACAAAGATCAGACTAAAACTAAAATAGGCCGTCAAATCAACACTAACGTTGCGCTGCTGACTCGAATACATCAATACATCATAATGCCCATCCGTTTGCTAAGTGTGACGTCATGTGAAGCGGCTTCCGAGTCCAATCGCTTTATCAAACTGTATGGGGAGATTTAACAAATGGTAATAATAAACATTTACAAAGCAATGTAAAACTTTCGGAAATCATAATCACAATATATATATATATATATATATATATATATATATATATATATACAGTTTAAGTCAGAATTATTAGCCACCCTGAATTATTCGCCCCCCCCGTTTATTTTTTCCCCAATTTCTGTTTAACGGAGAGAAGATTTTATTAACAGTTCTAAACATAATAGTTTTAATAACTCATTTCTAATAACTGATTTATTTTATCTTTGCTATGATAACAGTAAATAATATCAGACAAAAAAAGCTTAATTATGTTAACTAGGCTGTTTGAATTCAACTGTATATCTGTTCCTATAATCAGATAACAAGAAAGTGAATCATTTTTTAGAAATTGTTAAAATAATGTTGTCTGTGATGCAGCAAGTGCAGAGATTGTTGTGTACACCATGATTCTATTAATTGTCAATTTAACTAGTAGTGTAGTAGTAAAGTAGTGGCTTGGACCCAGAAACAGTATTCCATGTCATGACTAGTGCCAGACAGAATCTGTGCCCAATTTTTGCTATTTCTGCAGAGAATTTTGTAAAAAATCTGCAGATTTATGTGGGATGATTTTGGGAGTACTGTAACTAAAAACTTAAACTTAAAATAAAACTTAAAATAATAAATAAATTAAAATTAGACTTAAAAATAACAGCTTTTTAACTATTATTTAATGTTTACAATGCAAATCCATCTAGATCCACTTATTTGGTAAACAAAGCAAGTCTCTCATATCTCTACTAAAAGACAGAACATATTACTTTACAAACTGTATTGTAAATTCATCAATAGAACTTTTTCTTATTAGTCAATATTATTATTGAAATTAATAAAAAAACTGAATAAATATGAATTTAAACACATTTACACAAGTAAATAAATATAGTCAATGACAAGCTAAAAATTCTGTTCGCACAGATTCCGTGTGGGCCTAGTCATGGCTTGGCCAAGTGAATGGTAAACCTGTAACTGACAACCTGACTCGGGAGAGAAGACATGGGCGAACAGAGTCATATTTACAGTTTTTAGTGAACAAAAGTGTTCTTGGTAGGGTTGGGCATCTAAGCTATAATGCCGATCCGATACGCATCTCGATACAAAGAATACGATCCGATATAAGCGATACATTTGTGACATATTGCGATGCAACACGATACGATTCACACCCATATCACGATACAATGCGATAATTCAGCACTAACTAATTAGATCAAGTTTATGAGATGATGTGAAAGAGGATGCTGTGCCATTGAATGAGTTTGATTATTTATAAACCAAGCAAAACCAAGACTTTTTTTACAAACTGGCTTTTCTCTCAGAGCCAGAGTGTCAGTTTATAGTAGAGGGCCATTTTAGAACATATAGCACATATTATTTAAGTATTTTTGAAATAAACAAAATGTATAAGTGCAATAAATATTAAAAATACATACATTTGCACTCTTTCAACACAAAGGTTTACCATTGCACAACAAGAATTGTGATTTAACTTTTCAACTATGAAAACAAGTTTTACAAAGATATATTGTGCCACTGAATATTCAAAACTTCAGGTGGTGAACTAGCAGTGTTATGCTGCTTTGAAACATCACTGTCACTGTAAACAACAGGCTAATAAAAATATAAATAAATACAAATTAACAGGAGGAGGTGTTTAAAACCTTCGTTCTCCGTGACACTAGGCTGAATATCTTTGCAGATGAACAATGCAATAGCATTCGTTATTGGCGTAGAGCGCACAAAACTGTTGCGCACGGAAACAACTTTCAATGCTTTTCTCACCACTTTTGGAGCTGGTAGCTACAGTTGAAGCAAAGCAGGAAGTCGGGGATGCAGGAACACTGGAAGATGCTTCCACAACAACACCGAGGCGCAGCTTCAAGTGAGATATCAGATTAGTCGTACTGCCCGTGTATTTTACAGATGCGCGGCACATTTTGCAAATTGCATCTGTCCTGTCAAGTCGTCCATCCTCAGTGGGGAATAAAACTCAGTGGGGAATAAAATGTTTGTTTTGCTTCTCGGGCTTTCTGAGGGCGCACCACTAGCTTCATCCGCACACCTGATACACTGAGTTGTGTATACATCCGCAAGTCAGTTGCTAAGGCATACTTTATGTAGGTTGATTAAATTATGCGCCAAAAACAGGTTGACAACACTTGTTAATAAATAAAAAATACATTCTATATTAAAAATATAAGTTGTATCTTTGAAAAACCGATGCATCTCGCAAAAACCGATGCATCTCGATTTGCTTCCAAAATTTCATTCATCCTTTGCTGCTCTACCGATGCACTCGCATCGTGCACGCGCATGACCGCGTATCGATACATATCGATTAATCTTCCCATCCCTAGTTCTTGGAGCTTGGCACGACTACAGTTGAAACACTGAATCACATGGACTGTTTTGACAATGTTTTTTCTTTTTTCTTTTTCTGGACTTTAAACATCTCGGGCCATTGCTGTTTATGGGGGATGAGAGAGCTCTCCGATTACATCTAAAATATTTTAATTTGTGTTCTTAAAATACAGCAATGTCTCAGGCAATTGAATTGAGGGTGATTAATTCAATAGGATCTAACTGCAGACTTGCTTACAAGCAATCTCAGACACAATGCACCCAATGGAGCTAGTGACGTCCCTGTGAGGGCTAGGGCTAGGTGTGCGCATTAAAAGCATTGCATGCAGCTCAGCATTGCATAGATTGCATGGTTGTTTTGTAGCACACTTTTATATTACTGAATTGCCCAAAGTGCTAAACACAATCAATACTAATTAAAATAACAAATCACACAGCATATAACATTTAAAAGGCTCAAATGCGAATATGCAATTTCAGAAGGGTTGTAAAAACAAGTAAAGTTGCAGCGTGTCTAATGTGAGGTGGAAGTTTATTCCAGCATTTTGGAGCGATAACAGCGAAAGTCAGATCCTTTTTCCACTAACCTAACCTAACTGTCCTTGGTACAGACAGATAAGACTGATCTGATGATCGTGTCTGCATTCTCGAGTAATAAGTAACATAATTAAACTTTTTGGGTGAACTAACAATTTAAGCGGTGTTTAAAAAACAAAGGTTATATGATTTCTACCATACTCAGTGGCTCAGATGGAGGTGGAGAGTTTGCGAGGCTGGAGTCGCTCAGAGAATCTGGACAGTAAGACGGGCAGGATTTCATCAGAGTTCATGAGCATCCAGAACCCCACGGCCACCAGCATGGACCGATTTGCCAACACTGCACGCATGTCCCTGAAGATGCAGCGGGTCAAACAGAAACTAGACTCTGTGCTGGTAAAAATGGTGATTTATAGAAAATGAAGCAAAATATAATTCAGTCAATAATAGATCAGTAACACAGCCATTTTCTTACAGGAGCCTCATCGCAGTTCCTCTAATGTGGACATGTATGAGCAAGGCAAGTAATGTATATGATGTATATTTGAAATTAAAGGGATACTTCGCCTAAAAACACTGATTTGGTATAAACCTTTTTAAATTTCTTTCTTCTTTTGAACAAATATTCTGAAGAATGTTGGGGATAAAGGACACAAAAATATATATTTTCTTTTATAAATCAATGGGTGTTTTTTTTTAATCCAACATTCTTCTTTCTTTTTGTTCAACAGAAAAAGGAAACTCAAAGAGGTTTGGAACAAGTGGAGAATGAGTAAATGACAGAAATTATTATTATTTTTGGGTAATCTGTCCCTTTAAGAAAATAAGATGTGTTGGTAACACTTTATAATAACTACACACTATAAATCATTTATTAAGCATTAGGAAATAGTGAATTTATTATCTGTTAAGCATTAACTCTACATTAATAAGCGTTAGTAAGCAGTTTATAACTGCAGCTACAAATGCTGTATTCTTGACTTACAAACAAATTTATAATGTGCTTAATAATTGTACTTTCATACTATGTTAATGATTTATTTTTCATTACTTAAGCAAGTATTGGATTATTTACAAGTCATTTGTATTTATGAGTAGTTGGTGGTTTTTAGGATCATTCAGAATGAGTTAGTAAATGATTAATAAACTATTGAAATCAACATTTATATGTTTTATTATTCAGGCATATATTAATGGTTACTATGTATGTAAATAAATGCTTTATTAGCTCAACTTCATGCAGTTTTGTGACCTAATCTAAAGTGAGGACTATTCATGCTTTGTAAATCCCTTATAAATGATAAATAAAGGCTCAGTTAAATTCTAAACAGGAAAAATTACATAAACTACATTATTCAAATGAAACTATACTTCAAATGAAAAATAAATATGCAACCTTATCTAAAATCAATGTAGATTTTAAACATTGCATCTGAATATATTGTTAAATTATTATATTGTTGTTGTGTTATCCTGCTTTATGTCATATTTTGAAACTCATGTTATTTGGCAATGTTTAAACTTTACAGTAATTTTACTTTTTAGATAATATTGCAAAGAATATTGTTCAGTTGATTCTGAGCCTTTATTTATCATTTATAAGGGATTTATAAAGCATGAATAGTCCTCACTTTAGATTAGGTCACAGAACTGCATGAAGTTGAGTTAATAAAGCATATATTAACATATTAGTTAACTATTAGTATATGCCTAGATAATAAGACATATAAATGTTGATCTCAATAATTTATTAATCTTTTACTAACTCATTCAGAATTTTTCTAAAAACCCTCAACTACTCTTAAATACAAATGGTTTGTAAATAATGCGATACTTAATTTAGAAATGAAAAATAAATCATTAACTAAGTATGAAAATACTATTATTAAGCACATTATATAAGTGCTTATAAATCAAGAATAGAACATTTGTAGCTGCAGTTATAAACTGCTTACTAACATTTATTAATGTAGAGTTAATGCTTAACAAATAATGAATTCACTAGATGCTAATGCTTAGTAAATGAATTATAGTGTGTAGTTATTATAAAGTGTTACCGATGTGTTTTTTAAACAAGTGCAGTAAATTATGTCTCTAGCTGTGTCTCGTTTCAGAAGCTGCATCCTCTGAAGGATGCAGACTTCAAGGGTAAATTCTTTGAAGTCCACACAGGCCGAACCAAGCATTTTGAAATGAGACGATCTAGCCTACAGAGGACAGTTCTCGTCACTTACCAACCATAATGTCTGCCGTTAATAAGCTTTAATACAATTTGTAATGACTTTTTTTCCCAAAGTGATTTAAAAAAACTTATTGTAAGCGATCTAAAGGCAAAACAAGGTTTACAAAAGCTGGAAATATATTTCCTTTGATCCATACATGTACACATAAACAAACTCTATAAAAATCACTCTTTAGTAATACATGTCAGACTCTTTTGGTTTTTTTTTAACAAGAGTTTAGATATCAAAGTAAAATAAACCTAACTCATACATTTAATTCAGAGTTTTCTTTTAAAAACGCCCTGCCGTTATCAGTGCGCAATTAATCTTAGGAGGTTTGAGCTTGTGTCCTTCATTACCTGGAAAATACAGGGCACATTTTGAGGCTAACTTGAAGGAGCCTTTAATTTTTTTTTTTTAAATAAGAGAGCCTTCGTCGCGCCATGATGACGCAGCCCCCTTCGGAGGATGCAGCCTCTGAAATGAGACACAGCTTGTGAATCTTTTATTTGTTATTTTCTTTAAAGGTGGAATGTCTTCCTTGGGAAGGAGTATAGAGGTGAATATTACATCATTTCTACTTGGTTCACTAAATATTATATTGCAGTTAGCATGTTGAATTTAAAGACAAATAGTTGTAATTTTAATAAACAGTTTTAGTTGTAATAAAATTATTAAAGGAGCTTCTATTTATACCGATTAGTGATGATTAAAAACGTTTGCCGTTACATTGAAATGAACTACAGCAGTAGTTCTGCTCTGTAATACTAAACTGAGCTCTTGTTATTGTTTTTTTTTTCAGGGCCTGAACTCATATCTTCCTCCTCCATCTCTACTGTCTCCTCACTCTAAACTGCAGATGTCTTCTTCACTGAGCGCTCAGCTTATTCCTCAGGCCACACTGACCTCACACACCAGTATGAGCGTTACCTTTAATCATTTTAACCTCACCTGTATATGAATTTAATGGACATGGACATGTACGTACATGAAGAAACGGTTAGCGATCTGATGTTAGAATTTAACATTGCTTTTTCTGGGTTAATTTACTTGACCCAGCTGCAAAGACGTACATCACTAGGTACCGTAAATATCAATATTGTGTGACATAGATAAAATGTATGTAACCCACTAGCGCGAGTCATTTTTACATGGGAACTGATATAGCGCAATAATGAACTTCTGAAAATAAACAGGACATCTCAATAGTGGAATAAAAAAAAAAAAATTTAACAGTAATTTGTTGTCATTATACAAAATAATAAATTTTTTTCTATAAAAGTCTTCAAAGCAAATTTAAATAAATCTTATTAAATTTGATTTTTAAATGACAGCTAGCAATGTTCTTGAGGATGTTGTTGTTGCATTTCATATCTTATAATTTTATAATTATGAAAATTAATTATTTCTAATAATTATCCCCCAACCCACAGAAATAAATAAATAAAATTAAGTTTTTTTATTTAATTAATTAATTTTTGAAAACATGAGAGCCCTGAATAATCTTGTAAACTTTAAATATTAATCGTGTTAAGTTTGTTTCCTAAGTACTTAAAAATACATGAAATGATTGAAGTCTTCTGCTCTCACAGGTGGTTACAGTCAAGCCGGACAGCCAATCAGAAGAGCTCCATCCCTCAGACAGCAGAAAGTAAGTCACTGTCATCTATTTTTGTTTGACTTTATGTAAAACTTTTATTCAGGAAGGCTGCATTAAATTAGGTGACATTAGAGAAATTAATAATACTCCAAAAGATCAGTTTCAAACAAATCCTGTTCTTTTTTTTATCAACAAACCTGCATGTTATAATACTTTCTTAAGGATCCTGTATATATATATATATATGAGCTATATCACACAATATGGTGGGAGGTTAGCGTCCCACCAGTGCTGATATACAGCCATATCGCACTGCTACGAGTGTGATATTGTGTTTCTACAACAGTTCAACAGCACAATCGTGTATATAAAAAAGGAAATCAAACACGGAGAGTCTAAAAAACACCTTTTTAATAGGAACTACTTTCTTCCGCCATTCATTCACATCTGCAGCTGACAACAAAACAGCAGGAGTACTAATTTAACAACAGCCGTTACTAATTCACCAACGACACTTTAGAGCTAGTGTTTGAATGACTCTATGTCTAAAGTGATGACAAAACTGCTGGTTTTGCTTACACTTTAAGATTATAAGGCTGAACGTGACATGATATGCCATCCGTCTACAGAGATATCTTCTTACAGTGTTACAGTATTTCTCTGTTGCAATCGGGATTTCACAATAATTAACCCCGAAAATAACAACAAATTCATTACCAGCATGCTGTTGTGTTTGCGATTAAGGAAAAACGCTAAACACATGCAGACTTTGCTTAAGTCTGTGCCTGTGGGAGAGGGGGTTCGGGGGTGAGAACTGGAATAGAATGCAGCGGGTTTGGGGCACCTGCTTCGATCGTGTACTGTACCAAAGTTGGCAACCCGGGGGTGTTTAGTTTACAGACTGTACCAAAGAGAGGGGTGGGTGAAATTACGGGAGTTTTGTTTTAGGAAAAAATAAAAAGAAATACGGGATATACCCATAAAAAAGGAAAGTGTTGGCAGGTGTGCTTACCAGTTTAATATTGATTTGATTTGCTGTAGTTAGAAATCAGATTGTTATATCTTTTAAACGCAAGGGCTTATTATGCGGTTGTGTCGCCATCTTGTGGATAGAAAACATCAACCGTCACTGACGAGCTCTCTCAGAAATTGTAAATATTTTAAAACAGGCACTGTTTTTACAAATAAAACTGCATAGTTGCAATCTAAACAACTAAATTCTCGACTAAAAAATCCTCCAAAGTACATTTTGTTGTCTAACAGCAGTAATATTTGACAAACTGTAGCTTCTCTGTTTGTTTGTTTCTGGCTGTATGTGGGCGGAGTAATACACAAAGGTGAAGGATGAAAAGGCCTTTGTTTGATGTTACTGGCGAAATATCACACGGCCATCAGCCAATCAGATTTAAGAACCAGACAGAACTGTTGTATGTATATACACACACATACATACATACATACATACATATATATACACACACACACACACACACACACACACACACACACACACACACACACACACACACACACACACACACTTGCAGATTTATTAACCCCCTTCAAATTTTTTGTCTTCTTTTTAAAATATTTTCCAAATGATGTATAACAGAGCAAGGGTATTTTCACAGTATGTCTGATAATATATTTTTTTCTTCTGGAGAAAGTCTTAATTTGTTTTATTTTAGCTAGAGTAAAAGCAGTTTTTAATTTTTTAAACACCATTTTTGGGATAATATTACCCCTTTAATGCTGTTTTTTCTCGATAGTTTACAGAACAAACCATCGTTATACAATAACTTGCCTAATTACCCAAACCTTCCTAGTTAACCTAATTAAGGCTTTAAATGTCACTTTAAGCTGTATAGAAGTGTCTTGAAAATGTCTAGTCAAATATTATTTACTGTCATCATGGCAAAGAGAAAATAAATCAGTTATTATATGTGTTGAAAAAAAAAAACTTCTCTCAGTTAAATAGATATTAGGGACAAAATAAACAAGCGGTCTAATAATTCAGGGGGGCTAATAATTCTGAGTTCAACTAGATACTTTGGCAAAAGGTTAGTGAACTTATTAATTTTAGGTTGTATGAAAATATGTATTTAGCAATTTAGACAAGTTGGATTTGCTGATGTTTTCTGAATGTTAGATCTTACACTTTCTAATTAAAGATTATTCTATTAACTAATCTTAATATTTTATAGTATAAGATCTGTGTTTTTGATTAAAGATGAATTAGTTTTGCTGATGTGTTATGTATGTCACACTTTCTAAATGAAAGATTATGGTAATGTTCACAGAGTTTCCATGATTATGAATTCTCTCAACAAGTAGAGACAGATTTGGGTCAAGCTCATCAGACGGTAAGCGTTAATTTGCTTTAATTATATGCTGACTAGTATTACTTTTGACATTAGCTCAATTTCTGTCGTCCTTTCTGCAATATTCTCTAGGTTGTGTCTTTATACGAGTACAGAGCCAATAGGTCGGACGAGCTGTCGATGCGGCGGGGTGACGTGGTTCATGTGCTGTATAAAGACAATGACAGCTGGTGGTTTGGCCGACTGGTCAGTGGGCAGGAGGGATATTTCCCAGCATCTTATGTGGCTGATGAAGGTTTGTGAATAGGGTTTGTTAACAGAAAGTCCATTTATTTTACATCATGTTGTCTAAATTCATGTGCGTTTTCCATAGGGAACTTTGATGAGGAGCTGTCAAGAGCTTTAGAAGCACAACCGTCACTGATAGATCAACCTGAGGAAGCGGAGCATGCAACACCAGTTCAGGTAATAACATGAGGATCTTTTAAAAGGTATTTATTTTCCCTAGTCAGTGTTCGCAACGAAAGCAGCAGAGATTTTTTTATATCTCAAAGCATTGCTTCATGTTCTTCTGCTCATGATCACGCGTAGAAGAAGCAACGCTGTTTTTTTCTAGACAAAATCAAATTGATTTTAGGCTTTCTATCAGTGCAAACTGGAAATTGAGGGTGTGTGACTTCATTAGCATCAACACATGCTTCATCTCACTGGCAGTGATGGGATATTCTGATCATTTACCAACTTGGAATAGTGTGATGTGCAAATCTTTTTGTTTATTTGGCCAAAATATTAAATTGTTACGAGTGGCTTATGAACGCATCTATAACCAGCCCAAATGTTGATCACAATACAAGTCAAAAAGAATGCTATAAAAATAGAAAATAATCATTCATTGTTTACTTGAGTAGTTTGTCTCCGATTAGCAAAGCCCAAAACTGTCAAACTGAAGACATATCACTCAAATAGTTTTGAATGGGCAAAAGTTTAACGGTCACTATGGCGAATGAAGCCCCGCCTACTAGAATTTCATGGTTCAGGATTGGTAGAGCTACGCACCGATGAATTTGCTCTTCAGTGTTTGGACTCTCAGTAATGATTTCAAATCACACTGAACTGAGCTAAACTGAACTGAACTTAAACACTAAAAACTGAACTACCCTGATCCAGTTACTATGACCGTTTATGTGAAGCTGCTTTGACACAATCTACATTGTAAAAGCGCTATACAAATAAAGCTGAATTGAATTGAATAGACCAGCAGCCAATCATCGATCGCTACAGATTGATGATTCTCCGGGGAAGGGGCTCAATCTAGGGTTTCCGCAGGGTCTTAAAAAGTCTAAAATCTAAAAATTTTATAGAATTAAATTCGCTGTTCTATTTTTGCACAGGTCTTATTTTTCCGATGTCCATGTAACGCTTCATCTACAGCTCATTTAAATTCTTTGTTGTTGTTGCTTGGTTTTCGTGGTGTTGTAGTTTTTTATTTCACTAGTCCAAATGTAATTTGCGGTACTACAACTACAAATGAGACTAACATGCAATAGCCAATCAGCTTTCAGTTATTGAACTCGAATGTGACATCATCGATGTGTTTGCGGAGGTTCGCTTTGGATGCACGCAACATTATTTTGGGTGGCGACTTGAGAAAAACAGTTTGCGCGGTGCCGCATTTGATTTGAAGATTAATCACTTTGAAGAGATTTTGTCTAAAACAGATCCGTGATCATAGAGATAACCAGATGACCAATAATTCTTGGCCAGAAATTGCAACAGCCATGGCAAAGGAGGAAAGTTGTTGTAAAAGTTTGGAAAAACCTGAAGGATATGTTTGTTAAAGCCAAAAAGAGAGGGTATGCAAAATTGGAGACCCAGGTGGTTTTAATATTACTGAATATGATTTTCCACCATTAATAGGTTTTACACTGATGTGTGTATATATATTACAATTGTAATATATACATGTAATATGATAAATGTAATGGCTACAAAATAAAATTAAGTAACATTATTTCTTTGATAACTGGAAAGGAATATTTAAACCTATCGTTTTACAATACACTGATGCTCTATTTCTAGGCTTTATTAGTGATAATGGTCAGGAATGTTGGACCATTATTGTGTTTTTAGCTTATAAGTAGAGGAAAAAAACTAGCCAGACAGTAATGTGTGAATTGTTGGGTGGGCAAAATAAAAAAATAACAAGTAAAAAACATCAGTATTTTTTAGTAAGTGTACTTTTTTTTTTCTTTTATTCTTGCCATAATAAAAAAATATAATTGTAGAGCAAGTCATGTTTTGTTGTCATTAATATTTAACTTTAACAGGTAAAACTGTCCGAAATATGAACAAAAGCAAGTGATGCATCAAAGTTTGATTTTAAAAAAATCTTCATAATCATTATTAATAATTATAAAAATAATAAAATATAACTAGTTTAAAATCTTGAAAGATGTTAATGATATGACGTAGTTCCGGAAACTTCCGACTTCTCTGTTTATCCGTCTGTCTTCACGGTCAGTTTCTTTTGACTGGCCCCTGTCGTTTTAAAGAATATCACAACAGCGAACACATCAGTTATAAAAGCCTCTTCCGTTTCGTGAGATGTGCGATGCGGTGCCAAGTGTAAATCAGGCTTAAGATGTTTTTTTTTCCTGTAGTTCAATAGTGCATCTAACCTGTCTTTAGTACTGTTTAATTTGAATACATTTATTATTATATTTATATTTTCTCCTTATGAATATGCATGTTTTTGAAATTGTGATCTAAGTCTTAAATTTAATACTTAATGGTCTTAAAAAGTCTTAAATTTGACATTATGATATCTGCAGAAACCCTGTCAGTCCAGCCGTGTGTTTTTACAGTTTTTTTTGCAGTTATGAGCATTCTGGGGTTGGCAAACGAACTGTAGTCTCCTTGCTTTTCATGTTAAATTTCATGTGTTTTATTATAATACTACTCACTAGTTAACATTGCTTATTTTTCTGGATTTAAACATTCTTCAAAACCTTTGGGATAATGTTAATTGATCATTTGTACACCCTTTTATCGTGACGTTTATCGTCAGCAGTTTTTTAGATGCCACGCGATTTTCATTTTCATTTAGCAGAGTGAACGCGCAAAAATTAGCCATTAGTGAATATAACAATTAACAAATACTCAAATTACAGTAATTAAGTAGTTTTTCTTAAGAACTGTAATTTACCAAGTACTTTTAAAATGTTTACCTTTGTAGGTGCCAGTGGTGTAGTGGTTAGCGCGGCTATGCCGATCCTTCGCCTCTCTCTAAACCATGCTTTTCTGTTAAAACTCTCTTACTGTCCAATCCAATAAAGGTGAAAACACCAAAAAAATAAAAAGCCTGCTTTTACTTTCACTTGAGTATATTTTTAGAGCAGTATAGATACTTTAACTTCTTTCATTCAACCTATAGTCACTACTTTGTTTTCTTGTCTATGGGATTAGAAAACATTCAACGTAAAATGAACCAAATATCAACGTCTAATAATGTTACAGCTTGACTTGTCTATCAGATGTTGGATTTTGGTTGACATACCTGACAAATAAAAGTCAGTATTTGACGTCAATATGTCGTTGGTTTAAGATGTTGGCTTGGCATTGGATTTTGGTCACTTTCTAAAATCAACCAAATATCAACATCATTTGACGTCATTATTAGACATCAAAATAATGTTGTCATTAGATGCTGGCTAGACATTGAATTTTGGTCACCTGACATCGCAACCTAAATCGAACCTAATATTAACGTCTTCTGACGTGTGCCTGCTGGGCAATAGCTAAATGTACAACAGAATATTACGTTTACAAACATTCACAAATTACATGCTAATGCATCAGCTTTTAAAAGCGCAATACTCACTACTATTGATTACTTTTAAAATAGCTACTATTTACTCATCCTTTGAGTAATATTTACAACAGATACTTTTACTTGCACTACATTTTTCAAGTGGTGCTCGCTGCAGAGCCATTTGAGGAGAGCTGAGCTCCAGCGAGGGGGAGCTTAAGCTTGAGCTCCACCTTTTTTGCACTTCTTCTACGAGTGATGTCACTGGGGGTAGGGTTAGGGGTGGGGTTGGTGTACGCATTAAAACAGCTTACAGGAGGAGGAGCAACAGCTCATGCTCCCCCTCGCTGGAGCTCAGCTCTCCTCAAATGGCTCTGCAGCGAGCACCCTCTCACATTTTTAGGCAAGTAATGGTACTTAAGTATGATTTTTCAGTACTCTTTCAACCACTGAAATTAGCCCCTGACTTTAGATGGCTCTTAATGATGTTGAAAGTCAGGAAAGAAAAGTGAAATGAAACTCACCATCAACTCCTATCAAATCTCCACTCCTACTGACATTATTGTAGTTGTGTTTATCATACAGCTTTGTGTTCAGACACCAATGATGAAAGCAGCTCCACATTCTTCATGCCTCAGGGCATCTTCTTCATTAAATGATAGTAAAACTGGGATCAGCTCCACTGTTTTGCGCTTGAGTGCCTCCAAGTGGTGTTTCTGTAAATGCAGCAGCTCCAAGCACATGAACAAAAGTCCCAATCTGATTGGTGGATAAGACTGGTGAAAAAACGAGCATGAGGCATTTCTATAAATATGACGCTTTTACACCTAATGGTGTAAAATTGGTGCTTTTTGTTTAGTCACAAAGCGTTAAACCTCACCATCACCTGGAGTGAACAGCCCTTTAGTCAGCAAAAATGTATGACACCATTCTAATGGTTTTTAGATATTTAAATAAAAAAGGTTGTGCTTTTAATCTTTCAGTGTTTTTGGGTTCTGTCGACTTCTTTAAAATCACTGATTATGATAATGTGTTTTATTTTGACCCTGATGTTTCAGATGTCCGCAGCCATCAGTGCCTCTGGAGAGCTGAAGATCATCTCAGAGCTGGACACGGATGCTGAAGCCTCCTCCACCACGTATGAATCCAAACGTCATGTCTTCCTGTCATTTATGCATCAATTGTACACGTATTATTCATATAAGTTTCTTCACTTGTTTTCTTCACAGAAGAAAAAAGAAGAAGAAAAAGGTGAAGCGGATTGAAGTTCCCTCTGAAGATCTGCCTCCATCTTCAGGATCTTCCAGAAGAAGGAGACCTCTTCCCAAACTCGGCCAAGCCAACGGTGCGTTTGAAGGTGAAGGATTGAACTTACGGGATCTGGTCTGATGCTTATGACGGAATTACAGACATAGAAACTTAAATACGTCTTTCTGATAATTTATTTTTATAGTTGGCCTTATTTTTAAAAAGTCTATTTTGTAATTGGATACGTTTGTAATGTATAGTTTTAGATTAGTTTTGTACAGTTTTTTTTGTTTTGTTTTGTACATATTTTATGTTTATACGTTTCATTTAAAGTAAGTTAAGATTACAAATGTAACGGCAACAACTCCAGCGGTGGAGTTATCTAATAATACTAAATAATTTTTCCACATGGGAATGAACCTTTTTATTTATTTAGCACAAGGGTTAATGACAACTGACAATATATATATTTATACAAAACAGTTCTGTTTGTATTCTTTCACAACATTTACAGCATGGGTCTCAAACTCAATTCCTTGAGGGCCGCATCTCTGCACAGTTTTGCTCCAACCCTAATCAAACACAGCTCATCCAACATATCAAGCTGTTCAAGACAACCAGACCAGGGGTGCCCAAACTCAGTCCTGGAGGGCCGGTTTGCTTCATATTTAAGTTCCAACCCCAATTAAACACACTTGAACCAGCTAATCAAGTTCTTTCTATGTATACTAGAAACTTCGAGGCAACGTGTTGAAGGAAGTTGGAGCTAAACTATGCAGGATCGAGTCTGGACACCCCTGTTCTAAACACAAGTAGTCTTGAATACATTGATTAGTTGGATGAGCTGTGTTTGATTACGTTTGGAGCAAAACTATGAAGAGCTGCAGCCCTCCAGGAATTGAGTTTAAGACCTATGATTTAGTGTTTTGAGCTAAAGGATCTCACTAAGAAAATGTGTTAAATGTATTTTCTAAACCTGTACATGTGTAGAAATGGTGGTAAATCTGTTAAATCAGGTTTAATGAGGTCAGCCACACACAAACTAGGGCTAGACGGGTAATCTGTGTTAAGTAACAAAAATCCCATTCTTTCACTAGTCCATTAGATTTCATATATAATCTATTGTACTTTGCTCAGACGCACTGCATAAGAGGTAATGAATTATTATATACACAAGGAACTCTTGATGCTTTATAAATGTATACCCATATAACTCTAAATAATATTTTTTCATAATAACTGATTCACTCTTTGCCTGAAATGTATGAAATGCTACTACTGTTAAGAGCAGTATTTGATCATCCAAACAGCATTTAATATGAATAAAGCAAATTAAACAACTAACCCTTGTTGAGCAGGATTGTCTAGTGATAGAATATGTATATTACTATCTATTTTTCTACAGATTGGGTAAATCACCAGGCTCATCTCAGCTCTGGTGTAAACAGATAAAGATTCAGCTTTTATACATATCGTTTCAGCTCTGAGTGCAATCTGCTTACAGGACTTTCATCATATACTGCGTAAAAAGTCCATCTCAAAATAAAACATGAGATGCTTTTGGTTGAATTGACCTTCATGTTTGTCATCTTCCACATCACCTGTGTTTAGCAGCAATATGATGAAGTGTGTTCTTCTGTTTAAAAGCTTGCGCTGGATTATTTCAGCTGATGTCTGCTCTGAGATCATCTGTCTTGGGGAGAAGAGGAGATTTTTCTCCTGAAATTTCATTCTGGTTGGCGTTTTTAGACCTGAAACAAACAAACAAAAAAATAAATTAGCATTTAAAGCAATGATAAATAAAATAAAACAGATTTACTATAGCTAATTGCCAAGGCATTTTTTTTTCTTTTTTTAAATGTAATAGATGTAAACCAGAAATCCAGATTGCACCAGACAAATACTGGGAAATGTCTCTAGACTAATGGCATTTCATGCCGTTCAGCCTTGTAATCTTGAAATGTGAGCAAAATCACCTGTTTTGTCATCACTTAAGACATTACTCTAGAGAATAATTCAAATGCCATGGCGCATTTGCTATGTACATGGCAGACTTTGTGAGTGGAAAAACTGAACTAGAGCAAAAACAGTTAAAGACCATTTGCAGCGCAAGGATAAAGAATGAGCCTCCTCCAATCGGCCTCTTTGCTTTCTCTTTCTCTAATTTGTGGATAAGGAAACGTTTTTTACACAAAGACATTCATTAGCCTACATGATTAATTTAGTTTGTTAAGCGCAAAGATTTGTTCAGTTCTAAATTCAGTTCTAATTTCCAGCAAATGAATAAATGAACAATAATAATGAAGTGTGATCAAACAACAGAGTTATATCCGAACACACGTCCTATTCTTATGCTCCATATGGTCCTAAAGCTGGCAGTTGGACACATCTAAGCTTGTTTTAAATAAAACAAATATAAATATGCACATACTACTACTACTACTACTACTAATAATAATATCATTATACCAAAGCAAATTGCCATGAACAAACTGAAAAAGTCCCCCGAGATGGAGGTAGTGGTTTTTATATTTATGTAAAAATATTTTTGAAATATTTTAATCCTTTAATTTTTTTTCATTTTTAAAGATATTTGTGTATTGCTGCACATCCTGTGTGTATTAAGCAATGTGCAAGCTTTTAAGATGCATGGACTTTAGACCTGCTTTCAGCTTTTCAGTCTATTTTAGTTCCTCAAAATACTAACACACCAACAATGCGCCTTAACACACTTCTTTTCTAGAGCAGCACACCCATGAGTTCACAAAGTGGTACAATAAATTTACTATTTAAACAACATGGCACAAAACTAGAAAATTGAGGTTGCTTTAGTCTGCAAATAGCAACAAATGGCAGCAAACACGTCTTTCACCTCATTGCGCCAGGTGTATGATAGGGCCCACTGTGTTTGATTTTCTTATTTATACACACAATTATGCCATAAAACTGTTGTATAAACACAATATCACACTAGAGGCAGAGCGATATGGCTGGATATCAGAACTAGTGGGAGGCATGCATTGGCTTAAGGCCGTAGACCGAGTGCCTTAGTGCCCCAGCAGTGCCGATATACAGCCATATCGCATAGATATATATATATATATATATATATATATATATATATATATATATATATATATATATATATATATATATCCACAGTTGAAGTCAGAATTATTAGTTATAATTATTAGTAATTATTAGTCTTTTTTAAATATTTCCCAAATTATGTTTAACAGAGCAAGGAAATTTTCACAGTATGTCTGATAATATTTTTCCTTCTGGAGAAAGTCTTATTTGTTTTATTTCGGCTAGAATAAAAGCAGTTTTTAATTTTTTAAACACCATTTTAAGGTCAAAATTATTAGCCTTTTTAAACTATATATTTTTTCCAATAGTCTACAGAACAAACCATCGTTATACAATAACTTGCCTAATTACCCTAACCTGCCTAGTTAACCTAATTAACCCAGTTAAGCCTTTAAATGTGACTTTAAGCTGTACAGAAGTGTCTTGAAAAATATCTAGTCAAATATTATTTACTGTCATCATGGCAAAGATAAAATAAATCAGTTATTAGAAATCAGTTATTAAAACTATTATGATTAGAAATGTGTTGAAAAATCTGCTCTGCTCTCAGTTAAACAAAAATTGAGGAAAAAATAAACAGGGGGTGAACAATTCAGGGGGGCTAATAATTTTGACTTCAATACTATATATACACACACACACACACACACACACACACACACACACACACACACACACACACACACACACACACACAACGTGCAAAAACATTCTATGGTCATACAATCATAAAAGTATTTTAGTGATTAAGTAAAACTACACTTACTTTTTTTGTATGTCCTCTATTGTGAAATATATTACTTGTAGTAAAGCCTAAAGTCAAAGAAAACACAAGCCAACAAATGAACATTCATCAACAAAAAAATCATTCATATGATATTTATGTATTATAAAATGAATTTTTATTTGCACAAGACTTGTTCTTACAGCAAGAAAAGCGAGTGCGCCTTGAACCCCTGCACTCCATTCAAAGTTCAGTGCTTCTGTGATGTATCCTCCAATAGTCGGCCCGAAAAACATCCTTAAATATGAAAGTGATTAATAAGTGATGATTATATCAATATTTTTAAACAAATGAATTCAATACACACCCAGCAGACCAAACTGCAGAAAACAGTCCTGACACCAATCCAAGCGTACTCAAGCTCTCCTCAAAGCCATATTCACTGCAACAAAACATGTTTTTAATATATATAACAGCTCTGTATTGTTGTATATATCACTTTAAGGGTTAACTGCACTTATTCAAACCATTCCAGGAATCTAGAGTAACATAGCTGAGAATTAAAGTCATAATAACCTCTTAAATGGCTTAACGTAAAAATAAGGCAGCACAGACTAGATGTGTTTGTGTGGATTTGTATGATGGTGTATTTGCCTCACTGTGCACAAGCGATCATCTCAGCGAAAGTGGGGATGCAGGTCATACACAGAGAAAAGCCCACAATCACCAGCATGAGGACGGTGAGCCAGAGCTGACTGAAAAAAACAAACATTACTGAGGCATTTGTGCTTTAACAAAACCTAAAAAAAAAATTAATTCTGAGGGATTAAAGGGATAGTTCCCCCAAAAATGAAAATAATTTACTCATACACTCCCGGCCACTTTATAAGGTACACCTGTCCAACTGTGTTAGCACAAATTTCTAATTAGCCAATCACATGGCAGCAACTCAATGCATTTAGGCATGTAGACATGGTCAAGACGATCTGCTGCAGTTCAAACCAAGGATCAGAATGGGAAAGAAAGGTGATTTGGTGCCAGTCGGGCTGGTCAGAGTATTTCAGAAACTGCTGTTCTACTGGGATTTTCACGCACAACCATTTCTAGAGTTTACAGAGAATGTTCAGAAAACGAGAAAATATCCAGTGAGCGGCAGTTCTGTGGGCGCAAATGCCTTGTTGATGACAGAGGTCAGAGGAGAATGGCCAGACAGGTTTCAGCTGATAGGAAGGCAACAGTAACTCAAATAAGCACTCGTTACAACCGAGGTCTGCAGAAGAGCATCTCTGAACACACAACAAGTCCAACCTTGAGGCAGATGGGCTACAGCAGCAGAAGACCACACCTGGTGCCACTCCTGTCAGCTAAGAACAAGAAACTGAAGCTACAATTCACACAGCCTCACCAAAATTGGACAAAAGAAGATTAGAAAAGCGTTGCCTGATTAGTCTCGAGTTCTGCGGTGACATTCGGATGGTAGAGTCAGAATTGGGCATCAACGACATAAAAGCATGAATCCATCCTTCCTTGTATTACCGGTTTAGGCTGCTGGTGGTGGTGTAATGGTGTGGGGGATATTGTCTTGGCACACTTTG